TTCAACTTAAAAAAAATTGAAATCAAGAGTATTAAAGATTTTAGTTTTTTTACCATGGATCCACCTTAAAATTGCCTTAACTACACCGAGTATGAGTTTAAAAATAGCACTTTTTTTTTTCTGTTTACATTTGCCGTAAAATAAATACTTTTTTTTCTAAGAACAAACAAACAAGGCTTCTGAAAGAAGATCAAATGATCTTATCAGCAGAACTTTTACCAGGGCCGCCAAGAGGGAGGGAAAAAGGGGCATACGTGCCCCGGGCGCCAAGATAATAGGGGCGCAAAAAAAAAATACCGTAATGAGATTTTTTTTACAAAACAGTAAAAAAAAATATTAAAGAAGACACTAAGTCTAATCCAAACAAAACATTTTAACATAAATCTTATAAATGCTTTTATAATTGTTATAAATAAAATTTAATTACAATTTTAAATAGCAAAATTAAAAAAAGCAAACTAAACTAATTAACTTTATTTGCTAAGATTTAACAACTCCCTAAGGAGTGTTAAAATCTGAATGCAAATCAAAAGTCACGCATACCCTCAAAAAAAAAAAAAGTCAAGACTTATAACTAGGGCTTCCAATAACGGACCAAAAATTAAATACCGGTTTTTCGTAGTGAAAACCGATATTTCGGTATTAACACCGGTATTTACAAATAGTTAAAAAAACATTTATTAAAACTCAAAGTAACAAATGAAAGGTTCAAAAACTTTATTGTTAAAGTTAAAATAATACATAAAATTAATGATAACAGTCTAATCCCCTGATTCCACTCTCTACCTCTGCAAATCTTTTATTCATACCTGTGTGGAATATTGTTATATTTATTTGGGCTGGTTTGTCTAATAATGCTCTTTCTCTTCTAAACAAAGTTCAAAAACGCATTGTTAACGTATCTGGACCTGGTCTATCTGCTAAGCTTGAGCCTCTTTTCTATTGTCGTAAAGTTGCATCTCTTTCTCTTTTATACTATTATGACTCAAAGGAGGTATCATCTCTAGTTCCATCAGCCAAAACTCATTCTCGGTTAACTAGTAATTTATCAAAGTCTTATTGTTTTATTGTATCTGTCCCTGCATGCTTCAAAAAATTTTATTTGTCTAGTTTTTTTTTTTGTGTGAGTGTGAACATCACCAATATCAACAAACGTTTATAGTATTAACTTTTTTAAGATATAAATAAATTCAATGAAAAAAAAATTATTCTGGTATCATTGCAAGAAAAACCAAACAATATATTTTTTAAGAAAAATCTTGTATTTGACCAGGAAGTTTTGTCATGTGAGATTTTATCGCGGAAAAAATACTTCGTTTGTTTTTGAAAAACTTCGTCCCAAAAATGCAAGAAATGATTTTATGTAGGTGTCGAATAATAAAAACCCACCCATGAAAATTAAAAGTATCGGGGAAAGCGGGGCAACATGGCGAATGGGGCTAGATAGGTTTTCATATAGCAACTCTACAAAAAATCTTAAAACTGGGTGAAAACGAAACTGTATTTGCATCTTGTATTTTAAAACACCAATTGGTTTTTTTAAATATTATTAACGCATTTTTATACGCATAAGTTTACTTTTGGCGCTTTATAAAAAATTCCTCATTTTCGGTTTCTCATAATGGATGGTGTCCTTCAAGTTTAACTTCTTTAGAAGTAGTTTTTTGCTTCTTGTGTTTATTTTGTGTTACTTTAATTAGAGTTATTAGTAGTTTTTAAGTTTTTATAAAATTGGAGACAAAACTTGCATAATAAATCATCTTGCTCCGGTCACGTGATCAGATGACAAATTTATGAACTTTTTGTTTTAATATTAATTTCAAGTTGTTATATTTGCAAACTGAAACTTCATGTAGGCAATGAATCATTTTAGTAATATAAACATACAGAGAAAGTATTATTGCTTCACGACTGATAGTTTTGCAATAACTCAGGGCTTTCAAAACGTTCGCCATGTTGCCCCGCTTTCCCCTATACGTATATATAGATGTTATTTTTTTTAGAAAAGGATGTACTACAATAACTTGTTTGGGACAGCATTTTGCTTTAGAATTGATAAAGTGATTTATAATCACTTTATCAAATCTTAATAAGATTTCTCATTAAGAATCTTAGTAAGATTAGTAAGGCTTGCAAGACGTACAAGAAAACTAATAAAATCTTATTAAGATTCGTATGTTTACGTACAATTTCTTAGTAAGCTTTGTAAGAAATGTAAGATCTTAATAAAATTTGTAAATTATATCATAATTTCTTTGTAAGATTTTTAAGATCTTATAAGATTATTTTGTAATTATTGCGACCGTACTAAATTCCACTCATATTTTTGCGTAGAGACTATTCTATCGAGTGGAATTTAGTAGGGTTGGAATAACTACAAAATAATCTTATAAGATCTTTTGAACTTATGGTCATTTAAGATCGTATGGAAGTCTTGAGAATAATACGCATACCGGTTTTTGCATTTAATCTGGGTGGATTTTTGCAAGAATCTGGCGGGTTTTTTTATTTAATCTGGCGGTTTTTTGCATTTAATCTGGCGGTTTTTTGCATTTAATCTGGTGGTTTTTTGCATTTAACCTGGTGGTTTTTCTTTTTATGATAAACAATTTTGTTTTTATTGCTTTATTTAATTTAACTTCCTTATGTACAATTTAAGCCCGTTTTCTCTTAATTTTTTTTTAAATTTAAAGTGAATAACGCACAAAGACAATGCTCAGATATTAATGCTGAAGTAAGAAATTTGATCATTAATCTTGTAATTAACGAAGGGAAAAGTGTGAAAGAAGTATCGGAACTCGTGCATAAAAGTAAGACTTCAATACGACGCCTGGTCTATCGATATTTATCAACAAGTAATATCAAACCTGGTATTAGAGGTGGTTTTCGACAGTCAGGTTGTACTAAGGAAATAAGAAATAAGCTACACGAATTGATTGGAGATAACAAAAACTATAATCTAAAGGAGTTAAAGGTAGAACTGGGACTTGATGTCAATGTTTCTACATTATGGCGATGGTTAAAAAAAATTGAATTATACATACAAAATATTAAGACCCATTACTGAAAGACGCAATACTGCAGAGGTAAAAGAAGAAAGAAAAACATTTGTTTCATAGTATTTAAACTTGACATTGCAACAACGCTACAGAAATATCATTTACATCGATGAAAGTCCGTTCAATCTTTATATGATAAGAAACCATGGAAACAGTCTCCGAGGAACGACCCCAAATCAACGTGTGTTATCATCAAGAGGCCGTAACATAACTATGATATTAGCATTAAATTGTTTAAACATAGTCCACTGTGAAGCAATAATTGGCGTAGGGGTAACAGCAGAAATCTTTAAAGGATTCTTAAATACGCTTAAAAGTATTTTGGGAGAAGAAGAAGAGTTTACCTCGGTGATGGACAACGTTAAGTTTCATCATTCATTATCAGATTTTTTTGATATCTATCCCTATGAAATTCATTTTTTACCCCGATACTCACCTTTTCTAAATCCTTGTGAAGAGACATTCTCAAAAATTAAGAATACTACAAGAGGACAAATAGCTCCCGATCGGAAATAATGATTTGTTAGAACGAATAAGGAAAAGTTGTGAGCGTATTACTGAACATTATCGTTCAAACTTTGTGAGACACTATGAATCTTTTCTCACACGATGGAGATGACATTAATCGAGAATGAAGTAATAATCTTTTAAAACTTGTTTTTTCGAACTTGTATGTTATATATATATATATATATATATATATATATATATATATATATATATATATATATATATATATATATATATATATATATATATATATATATATATATATATATATATATATATATATATATATATTACTAATATTTTAAGCAATTCATAACATGCATTATAAAATTGATATAAATTTTAAAACCGCCAGATTGAATGCAAAAAACCACCAGGATAAATGCCAGATTAAATGAAAAAAACCGCCAGATTTGTGCAAAAATCTACCAGATTAAATTCAAAAACCAGTAAAAATTTTATAGACTAAATTTTTTTTCTGTTGTTTACAAATTAAATAAAAATACAAGTCAAATTAATTTAGATTGATGCTCAGCAAGTGATAAAATTATACAATATAAAAATGTGCACAGTTTAACTGTTTAAATATTTCCATTTTATATCAAGTCCCATCCCATCCAAATATTTCCATTTTATATCAAGTCCCATAATATTAATACGTTGAATTATATATTATTAACATTATATATTATTATATAACATTATATAACATTATATAATATTATATATTATATATTATTGAATTATATAATATTAACAACGTGTTTTATATCAGCTAGAAAAATTACGTCGGTATGACGTAGGAAAATGCAATGTTTTAAATGTGCGTTGTGGTTTTCTGCGCTTAGCTTACTCAATAATTGAGTAAACAAAGCGCAGAAAATCACAATGCACATTTAAAACATAGTTATGCCGAGTAAATTTTCTAGCCAAATGTAACACGTTGGCCCGACGTCGGGCCAACGTGTGCTAGTTTTCTCGTGTTAATTTTTAAACTACTGAACCATAGCGTTCTCTACTACAGGCCTATTCATCGCGCAACCGGATTTTTTTGTGGAGGCCTACTTTTTTACGGCAAAAAAGATAATAACTTCGTAATTTTAAAACTAAAAAGTAATTTTAATTTTCTGTATAGCCTAATAATTTTTTTTGACGAAAAAAGAAAATTAATATTAAGTAATAAACAATGTAAATAAAAGGCAAAGAAATTTTTTCTAATTTCAAATTTCACACATTTAATAATTATATTATTTCACCTTTAGTTTTGGCTTTAACAGCTAAATACAAAATTGATATTTTCTTATATTGAGTAGAAATGTTATTAAACCAAACAGAAAATATTAGATAAATTTTGATTAAAATTGTTAACAAAATCTGAAAAAAACAACAACTAATATATGAAACTTTTAAAAATCTTTTATAAAAAAGTATACTGAATATATTATAAACAGTAGACAACTAAGTAGACTTTTAAGAGATTTTTAATAACTTTAGTGCAGGTTCTTTGCCAGATCTTGGAGTGACAGTGGTACATAAATTTTTTTAAAAAATGTTGCTCAATATTACACAATGATGTTCTTCCATATCCAATAAATAATAGTCTGATATAATCATAAAAATACTACTTAAAGATTTTCGGCATACATGATCTTTAACTATTTGAAAAACTACAAAACAAAAAAATGTCCATTGGCATGAATTATCAGTTGGAATTTTTAATCCACCACGATCCAAAAATTTAGAAAACTGACCATATTTCTGATAATAGAACGTTGTTTGATCTAAAAGTTCATAATCAGTTTGTTCTTTATCATTTCGTGTAACATAACCAGCAATGTGAATAAGTGACATTTTAACATCATCAGCAATAGAAGATTCTAGATCTTGCAAGTTATCAAGAATTTCGCAGCAGTCTTCAGACAATTTGTAATTACATAACGCACATTGATGACCAGACTTCACATTAAAATTGTCAATATCTACATTTAACTTCAAAAGTAAAGATGCATGTTTGATACGTAATTTTTCAATAACTTGTTGAACACTAAGAAAATATGTACCACCAGAACCTTGACGAAGTATACTATATTCTTTTTCCAGGTGATCTGAAGTAAATTGACCAAGAAGTACATAGTTTTGCGTAGTGTTAAGTAAATATCTACATAAATCTACTAGTCCATAACAAGTTTGATGTATACAAGTTGCAGTATCTTTAGAAAGCTGTTTAATACGCTTACCTTTGGGACCTGCCATTTTAAGTGCCATATCACCAAATTGTAGTATTAAATTTAAACGGTTGTCATCAGGATTGTTGATAACAGCCTGCAAAGGATCATTATGCCTTGTATCAGCACCAATGGCTTTGACATTTAAAATTTTCAACCAAATAATAACTTTATTAATAAATATAGCAGTGTCGTTAACATCAAGATGAATCATGTCAGGATGTTGCAAAAGAGCAGCATAAGTTTTTTCTAAAAATACTCTTAAAACTGTTAATACACACTGTCGTTCAACAGGTTTAGGAGAAATAGAAGTTTCATTCAGGTCAGATAACTTTAGAAAGCTTCTGGATTCTGCATTGTAAAGCTGCTTTAAATGAGTCCATTTTGCAATCCTGGTTACTCCGTTATTGTCAAATATAAATTCCTGAGTTTTTTCAGTTAACCAAAGATTACGAATATTTTTTATGAGGTGTACAAAATCATAAAAAAAATACTTTCCATCTACTGTTAACCATGGTTTTCCCGGAATGAATGTGTACATTTTAAAAAAAAGCCTGATTGACACGATTCCCATCACATATAATAGCTTTTACATTTGTACTGACTGAATCAATTATTTGACTAGTTAAATTAATCTGTTCAAACAAAAAATCAGATCGTAATTTTGATATTGGCATCATTTTAATTAACACCTTTGGACCCCCATTTAAACAAACAGCCATAATCTCTAACAATGTTTTGGACAATTCCACTGGATTATCCTCCGATCTACCAAAAATAGTTCCACCATGGTAAAGCAAACTTTTTTTAACATATATTTCATCATGTACCGTCAACCGGGGTGACTTCGGACAGCGGGGTGACTCCGGACAGAGCATTACTTATTATTCTACTTCAGTTTCTTTTAGTGATGGCGCGAAACTTCAAACGTAAACTAAGTGTTGTATGGAACAAGCTCTAAAGAAGATATAAAAAAAGCTATAGAAGATCACAGTAAAGGCATGAGTATTCGAAAAGCTGCTGATAAGCATAAAGTCAAAAAATCAACATTGCATGATTACATTAGAAAACCCACCTTAAAGAAGGTTGGAGGCCAGACAATTATAAGCAAAGCAGATGAGGTACTCATTGCTCAAATGCTAGAAGCTGTTGTCGATTGGGGCTTTCCTATTGGAAGATTAGAAGTCAGAATGATGGCTTTTGATTTCCTCAAAAATCGCAATGGGTCAAACAGTTTCAATTTGCAGATACCTGGAAATGACTGGTTAAATTCTTTTATGAAACGAAACAATATTTCTGGGAGAAATGCTTCAAATATTAAACGATCGAGATCAAAGTTAGGAGTAGAAATGATAAATAATTTTTTTTGTGAATTTGAAAGAACTTATGAATCTCTTGGTGGTATTCAACCTTCAAACATATTTAACTTCGATGAGACAAACCTTTCAGATGATCCTGGAAAAAAGTTTGTTTTAGTTCGAAGAGGAAGACGACGAGTGGAAAACGTTCAAGAACATAGTAAAACTTCTATATCTCTTATGTGGTGTGGCTCTGGTTCAGGAGTACTACAACCACCTATGGTAGTTTATAGAGCATCGAACGTTTATAAAGGTTGGGTAACAGGAGGGCCACAGGGAACAATATACAGTTGCACAAAATCAGGTTGGTTTGATATGGAGACATTTGCCAAGTGGTTTGAAAAATGCTTCTTGCCGAACGTTCAGAATTTAAATGGACCCAAGCTTCTTTTAGGAGATAACTTGGCCTCTCATTTTAATCCAGACGTTATTAAACTTGCTAAGGAGCATAATGTTTACTTTGCTATGTTGCCACCAAATGCCACACATTTAATGCAGCCATTAGATGTATCTGTCTTTGGTCCAATGAAGCGTTGTTGGAAACATGTATTATATGAGTTGAGAAAACAAAGCAGAAAAACTGGATGCTTTCCCAAAGAACATTTTCCAGCTCTATTAAAAAGTTTATCACTTAAGTTGCAAGACACAGTGTGTCAGAATTTGGTTTCTGGCTTTATTACATGCGGACTTTATCCAATAAACCGTATAAAGGTTTTAAAAAGAATTCCTGAATACAAGGAACCTGGTACATCAACAGCATCCCTTTTAAACGATTCGGTTACAACTTTGCTAATGTATCATCGTGGTGCATGTGAAACAAAAAAACCCTGGGGCAATAAGTTGAACATTGCATTTGGGGCAGTTTTAAATGTCGTTGAAGATATTGAAACTGATCTTTGTTTCATCTGTGGAAAAGATGATAATGACGAAAACGATGAAATCAGTGAAGAAGAAGAAGAAATTTTAATTGATTGGACTGGTTGTGAACGTTGTGGTCGTTGGTATCATTCAAAGTGTTTGGAAAATGCCATGTCGACTGATTGCATTGTATGCCCAAAACTATAAATTTTATTAAATCTTTTTAAAAGATAATGATTTGTATATGATTTACTTCTACAGTTGTCAATAATTTAAACAAAATAAGAAAGATTAGTAATTGATTCTTCATAATTAATCATTGTAGTTGTATCATTATTATATGTATATTTGAAATAGTTTATCAATAGTTGTTGTTTTTTGTTTTGTTATTTGAAATAAAAAATTAATTGCTTAATTAAAAATTTAAAAAATTTAATTAAGCAGCTTTTTTACATAGTTATACATTCATTTTAAAACTCTTGATGTTGAAATTTCAACTTTTAAAATCTCAAGCTTCAAGTGTCCGGAGTCACCCCATTTCCCGATTTTGATTTTTTGATTTTTAAACCGTTTTTTTATGCTAATAACATATTGGAAAGCTGAAAGCCAAAATTTCTTCACGTTCTTTATAATTACAGTGGTACGTTCCACAAAAATATTTCCATTTTGTATTGATTTTAATGAAACAGTTTAATATTTTCTCCGAAAATTGTCCGGAGTCACCACGATTGACGGTAGTATGATACATAATTTCTACTTATCCAGAAGAGAGTTAAAAATTGAATAAATAAATTTGTTTTCATTAATATTAGAAATTTTTGAAGTAATTCGAGTCAGTGTTGAAATAGATGGAAGTTGATAATCATTTCTTAAGCGATTATATAATGCCCTTGATGTTAAGAAATATACAAAAGAGCGTATAAGTATTTCAGGTGTTTAAAGTTTATCTCCAACTAATTTTGGTCCCATAACTGAAACATGTTGCATAATTACTTCTTTTTTATGATCAATTTTCAAAGAGCTTAAAAAACGAAGTATCTCATCAAACTTAGACCAGGAGTCAACAGTTAAGATTCGATTTACTGTTAAGCTAGAGATGTGACACTTAATCCCATAATGAATTGTTTCAAAGGTAAGATTTTCATAAATTTTAAGTACAAAAAAAGGTATTCCATTAAAAAATTGCAAAGATTGTATAACAACATAGCCATCAACCATAAACGATATAACTGGATATTGGTGATCATTGCTATCAATAAACTTGTTTTTAATGTCACAAAAAGTAGCTTTATCCCTTTTAAGAAAGGCCGTGGATAGAGTGCCGAAAGTCGGCACTCTAACGAAATATGCTTATAGTGCCGGAAGCCCGTTTATTGGTTAAAAAAAATCACGTGCCAAAACAAATTCCGATATCATATATTTTAAATTCCAATCATTGGAAAAATATTTGAACTATATATTGGAAAAATTTCATTTCATTTATACTTATGCTATATACTTATACTATAATGATAATAAATTGCTATATATATACTATACTATATATATATATATATATATATATATATATATATATATATATATATATATATATATATATATATATATATATATATATATATATATATATATATATATATATATATATATATATATATATATATATATATATATATATATACTATATATACTATAATGATAATAAATTATTAAAATAAAACAACTACTAACGAAGTTTGACGTTTTCCATTGCCTTTATTTGTAAACTTTTTTCCGCCATGTATACAACAGTACTTTATATAATATTACTTTATCTGTGGAGCTATTGAAGCAGCTTTTCTTGGAATGGTTTTTCGAGCTGCTTCAATTGTTTTTGCGTCACGAATCCACAACTGCACAAAATGAGAATCTTCATATTTCTTAATAGTAGATTTTAAATCTTCAAATGATAAAAAAATATCTTTGCATGCAAAACTAGTTGACATCTTCAAAGTATAAATGAAATGAAAATTTTCCAATATATAGTTCAAATATTTTTCCAATGATTGGAATTTAAAATATATGATATCGGAATTTGTTTTGGCACGTGATTTTTTTTTAACCAATAAACGGGCTTCCGGCACTATAAGCATATTTCGTTAGAGTGCCGACTTTCGGCACTCTATCCACGGCCATCAAAATTTGGAGGTGAACTCACAGATTTGGAGGTGTAACTCACAGTGTAACTCACAGATAACAGTATACTTGGTAACAACCAAATTAGAGTTTGGAATAGCTTTTATCCATTTTTCACGCTCAACGTTATCACTTGGAAACCGATACACTGATATTTTATTAACTTCACAACACATTTTGTTTTTTTCACTTTGATAGTTGGTGTGACAAGCATACACACAACATTTATTTGGCATGATGATTTAATCTAAATTTTATAAATATATTAATTGCTTTAAATTATATCTGCAACTCCATGTTTAAATTATATAAGTTTATTAACATTGTATTATATTCCATTATTTAAATATTTGTCTTAAACGACATGACATTGTATCTTGTCTGAACGTGGAAAAATAATTTTTTCGCCGTAAAAAAAGTAGGCCTCCACAAAAAAATCCGGTTGCGCGATGAATAGGCCTGTAGTAGAGAACGCAATGTACTGAACAGTTATTGTTCCGTTGTTTAAATTAATTAGCTTAATATTATCCAATTATTTTTAGTTTAATTTTTTTTTTATTAATATTTTTATTTTTTTGTTGCAAAAACTTACTTCTATACTTAATAAATATCCAATTATTTTTAGTTTAATTTTTTTTTTATTAATATTTTTATTTTTTTGTTGCAAAAACTTACTTCTATACTTAATAAATGTACACAACTAAAATATTTAAACATAGTATTTATAGCTAGAGTAAATAGTTGGTAAAAAAAATACTACTTATGGTCTGTATTTTTAGTCGAAACTGTAAAAGAAAAATTCTTGGCAAACTTTTGATCAAAATACTTAATTTATTACTTTTTTTTATTATTACGTTTTTATTACGTTTACTTATACTTTTTTGTAGTTGTTTTTTTTTACGTTTTTTTACATTTTTTTTTTTAAAAACATTTTTTTACGTTTTAAGCATTAAAGTATAAAATGGAAGTGAACTATTTTTATTATTATTTTTACGTTTTTACGTTGTTTTTTTTTTTTTGTTGCGTTGTTTTTATTACATTTTTCTATAATGTTTAAGCATTGCAAGTATTAGATATGGAAGTTTCCACTTTCTGAAAAAATTTTAATGATAGTGTTGTGTTCCTCAAAACAATCTCTTTCTACTAAATTGAAATCTAAGTTATAAATAAAAAAGTTGCAGAAAAAACATAAGTTATAAAAAAAAATTTATACGCCGCAAAATCCAAAAAAAAAGTCAAAATCCATAAAAAACGGCAAATAACCCCCTATAAAAAACTTTTGCTAGAAAATAAATAATTAGTTTATAATGTCACTAAATACCACTTAAAGACAATGAAAAAAATTTTTTTTTGAATAATTTTTAAGATTTCACCAATTTATACGCCTTTTTCCGAGACTTATTTATTTTATTTTATTTATCGGAAAACTCGTTCAAAAAAGTCTCGCTTTAGAGTCACTCTTTTAAGATTGATATAGGTAAAAACAGTTCAAAATTTAATTTGAAGTCATATGCTTAAGATTTTTGGTAACTATTAACAACATTTTTAACAATAAATTTTAATTTTAGATTTTCATTACTGAGATCTCAAAAATATGTCATAAATTGGTTTTTTTAAATTAGTTTAATTATGAGTTTACTTCAAAAAGTAAAAGATTCCACTAGATTCCATGGTAGTTTTAATATTTTCCCATTAATAGGTATATATGAAAGCAGAAAAAATAAAAATTATTTCCCCCAACTTTCCCCAATTAAAATAAGACCTTTTAAATACTTCGGTTTTTTTTGTATTTTTTTTTTCCGTTTTTAATTATAACTTGCGCATAAAGTAGCGAACAATAGTTCATTGCTTGCATTCATCACACAAATAATACATTTACACCTTTTCTAGATCAATTTAAAAGAAATACGAATCAATTTAAAAGAAATACGAATCAATTTAAAAGAAATACGAATCAATTTAAATTAGTATTTCTTTTAAATTGATTCGTATTTCTTTTAAATTGATTCGAATTCCTTTTAAATTGATTCGTATTTCTTTTAAATTGATTCGTATTTCTTTTAAATGGCCGCGGATAGAAAGCCGAAAGTCGGCACTCTAACGAAGTATGCTTATAGTGCCGGAAGCCCGTTTATTGGTGCAAAAAAATCACGTGCCAAAACAAATTCCGATATCATATATTTTAAATTCCAATCATTGGAAAAATATTTGAACTCTATATTGGAAAAATTTCATTTCATTTATACTTTGAAGATGTCAACTAGTTTTGCATGCAAAGATATTTTTTATCATTTGAAGATTTAAAATCTACTATTAAGAAATATGAAGATTCTCATTTTGTGCAGTTGTGGATTCGTGACGCAAAAACAATTGAAGCAGCTCGAAAAACCATTCCAAGAAAAGCTGCTTCAATAGCTCCACAGATAAAGTAATATTATATAAAGTACTGTTGTATACATGGCGGAAAAAAGTTTACAAATAAAGGCAATGGAAAACGTCAAACTTCGTTAGTAGTTGTTTTATTTTAATAATTTATTATCATTATAGTATATATAGTATATATATATATATATATATATATATATATATATATATATATATATATATATATATATATATATATATATATATATATATATATATATATATATAGTATAGTATATATATAGCAATTTATTATCATTATAGTATAAGTATATAGCATAAGTATAAATGAAATGAAATTTTTCCAATATATAGTTCAAATATTTTTCCAATGATTGGAATTTAAAATATATGATATCAGAATTTGTTTTGGCACGTAATTTTTTTTAACCAATAAACGGGCTTCCGGCACTATAAGCATATTTCGTTAGAGTGCAGACTTTCGGCACTCTATCCACGGCCCTTTTAAATTGATCCAGAAAAGGTGTAGTTCCTATTACTAAAAAAACTCATGCTCAAGCAGATGGTGCTAATTATCAAACCTCAAAACCAAAATATGCAATATTTGATGTTATAGTGCATATTTTAAAATCCAAACTTGCGTGTAAAATAACTAACAATAGTTCATTGCTTACATTAAACATGAAAAGAATACATTTAGTCCCTATAATTCAAGAGTTGGGAATTAATCATGGTTATTTACTCGAAGCTTTTATACGTGAGTTTTGTAGACTGGAGGGTCTGTACTATGAAAGTATTGACAAACCTAAAATAATAAATCTAAAGAAAACTCTAATAATATTTAAATGTAAATTCCGATCAAAATTGCAGAAATATTCAAGAACCTTCTCTAGACTTTTGGAACACGAGCAAACTTGGTTGAACAAAGATGTAACTGTTGACAAAAAAAACTTTGTAGCAGATCCAGGCAGAAAGAGCAAGAACTGGGAAGATTTAGGTGATAGAAGCAGAAGATCTAAGGTAATAATAAATAAATTAAGTTCAACCTAGTTTGAAAAAATAATTTGCAAACTTAAATATTAAATATTATCTTGTTTAAGGTTGCCAAATTGGCTGAACATCTTGCTGAAGCATTGGCATTAGCTTCAAATAAAAAAGCCACAAGAGATCCTACCAAAAAAGATTTCATTGTTCTCATGAAAAGTGCAACAAACTCTGAAAAATGTTAATATCACGGAGATAAATTTTCCGATATAAATGAAAACCGAAGATGCCTTGAGCTTAAAAGTTCAGTGTGACCTTTCTGATGAGCAGTATCAAATTATTAGAAATTCATCAATAATACATAATGCAGATATTTATCCTTAACTTCACGAAATTAAGAATGAGAGACACAAGAGTTATCCTGAGGGTTTAATTGTGACAGAAACATCTGCTTCAACTCCTTTACAGGGTATGTTTAATCATACTCTGAAAAGAATATTAACTTTTACGGAATGCCAAGACTCTATGAGAATGTTTGCAGAAATTGGGGGGAAGTTTAAAGGTGTACTTCACTTTAAAGGTGGCTTTGATGGTGCCTCCACTCAAAGTGTCTATAAACAAAAGTATGCTGATACAAATATTGGTGAGGCCCAAGTTAACGAGCAAAGTCTTGTCCAGACAGCTACTGTTCCACTTAAATTAACCATTAAGAACAAAAATATATGGTTAAATAAGAAGCCTTCCAGTACACATTACTGTAGACCCTTACATCTCCAGTATCAAAAAGAAACGGAAGAACTAATACGAAATGAGTATGAACTTTTAAAAGCAGAAATGAATAGACTAGTCAAGTTTGAAAAAAAGTTAGAAGTAGAGGAAGGCAAACCGGATACAACAACCACATTTAAGTTCAAACTAGATTTAACCATATTTGATGGTAAAGTGGTTAATGCCCTCACTAACACTCTGTCCTCCCAATCATGTAATATTTGCGGATCTAAGCCCAGTGAACTTAATAGCCCAGAATTGATCAGATCTAAACGAATTAATGAAAAAGCTTTATCTTTAGGTCTTTCAACTCTGCATTGCTGGCTCAGATCTTTTGAATATATTTTACATTTAGGATATAAGTTAAACATTAAAAAATACTTTGCCAAATCCATCGCTGAAAAAGCATCAGTGAAAAGTAGAAAAAAGAACATTCAACTGAGGTTTAGAGAGGAGCTAAGTCTTTTAGTTGATATGCCTAAACAGGGTTTTGGCAACACTAACGATGGAAACACTGCCAGAAGGGCATTTGAAAATGCTGAAACTTTCGCTGATATAACGGGAGTGTCAGTAGATGTAATTATTAGATTGAGGACAATCCTAATATCAGTATGCTCCTGTTATGAGTTAAACTCAGAAAGTTTTGGCCAGTATTGCTATGAAACTACAGCTCTTATACTCAAAAACTATTGCTGGTATATGATTCCCCAACTGTTCATAAAATCTTGGAAAATGGTGTGCAGATATCTGAAGCATTAAAACTGCCAATTGGTTACTACTCTGAAGAGTCACAAGAGGCTCTAAATAAGGAAATTCGCAAAGCTAGATTAAACCATACAGCCAAGATATCAAGAAAGAATGTTATGAAAAACCAGTACCAATACCTCTTGATTAGAAGTAATCCTGTAATATCAAACATTTGTTTCAAAAAATACAAGGTTGAAAATGGAAAAACACTTACCCCTGAAGTTTTATCTTTGTTAATGCTGTAATAATGAAATAAAGCTTTTTTATAACTAGGTTTTCTTTTTTTGTTTTCTTGAAAGAAAAATTAGATGAGATGAATATTTATTTTATATTTAATATACTTTAATATTATTATAATATTAAAAGATTTTTTGAATCCAAACTTTCTTTTTAATAAGTATATGGTTTGAAGAATTTAATTCTTTTTAATTAAGTCTTTGTGCGCGTTAAAGACTATAACACGTATACGCGTGTATACGTGTTAGAGTCTTATACGCGGGTGTACGACCCTTAGGCACAAGAAAAATTTAAATCAAAAAATATGTGGTATTTTTTTATATGGTATTTTGGATCAAGGAATGCGATTTATTTATTTAAATCATTTTTTGCGCGCGTAAGCTTGCATTGTACGCGTCATAGGTACGCGTAAAAATTATTTTCAATAACAAATTTAAATTTTTTGACCCAAAATGCAATAGTATTGATATATCACACGTTTATATATGATAGTTATATAATTTTTGCCGTTTTTTACCTTCCTGACTCACTGTGCGCCATCTCCTAAAGTTTTTGTTTTTTAAATCGTTTTATCTCAAAACTTAAAAATGTGGAGATAGAACAAGATAATTCTAACGTCGCGAAATGTTAAAAATCTTTTACTTGATTTACAAAACAGTTATTTATAATTTTATAGGTCTTTTTCTTTTTTAACGACGTTATGGTAAATTGCTTAAATATCGCGTACTTTTGAAAACAAACTATTTGTTATGAAAGTTAGTGATAAAAGTATTAATATATTGAAACAGTTTGCATCACAAGAAAAAGTGGTTTAATATCATTGAAACAGTTTGTATCACGTGAAGAAGTGGTATTACGAGAAACAAAACAGTTTATATCATGCGAAGAAGTGGACGAAAGATTTATTTTAGTTAAAATAGTCAACACAAACAAATCATAAATTTCTTGAAATGTTTTTTATACAATTTATTTTACAGACGTGAGGCACATGTAGATTTGTGGATTTCTTTCTAGAAACATATACACATATATACTTTTTGGAAAGAAGAAAAGCTAATCTTGATTTTTTAAAAACTTTTAAGTATGGTTCCTAACTTTTTTATGGGATATTTTGCTCCTGAATATTATGTTGATGTTCTCATATGAAGTTGTGTTCGAAGAAATGTAGAGTCAGCTTTTTTTATTATTTAAATAGTTTGTTTCATGCATTTTCTATGCACGTGCCAAATTTCAATGAAAAAAAATTATAAGCAATTAGTTAAATTATTGTTATACCAAGTATACCACTTTTTTAGGTAGCCTTAGGCAAACGGTTTTTGAGGTAGTTCTTTTTAGAAACATGTATAAACCTTGACATCTTTTGAAAACAAGAAAGTTTAGGCTTGATTTTTATTTAACTATTGTATATTGCTACCGTACTTTTTTATGGATTATTTTGCTGAGAGTTTTGCATGTAAATTTGGTTGATGTTGTCACATGGATTTGTAGTTGAAGAAATGTAGAGTCCGTTTTTTTATTATTAAAGTAGTTTGCTTCATGCATTTTCTATGAACTTGCCAAACTTCAACAAAAAATAATTATAAGCAATTAGTCTAATTAGTGTTGCACTTTAGGTATCTAATTTCGGTTTTTCTGATTTTTTTTTTTTTGGTAAGCAAAATCCGGATGGGGCCGAAATCCGGATAAACGGGCGATGTTCAATTAAAATTTAATTAGACATGGTTTTTTAAATTAAATATGTATATATATATATATATACATATATATATATATATATATATATATATATATATATATATATATATATATATATATATATATATATATATATATATATATATATTTTATATTTATAAAATTTGTAAATGTTGTTCAAAGTAAATTTATTTATTTAGGTTAGTTATCTTGATGTCATTGGTGGTGCCAACATTAAAGATATGACAAGGAGAGTATTAACAGATTTGATAACTAATGTTTTAGCTTGTGAATTAAATTTCATGGAACATAGGGAAAAACATGCCTTTTCAGTCCTTATGATAAGAAAAATTGTCAATAGTAATTATGAAACTCACATTTTTTACACTTTTTATGCAATTTAAAGAAATGCCTAATGCATTATTTTTTATACCATTTTTTATAAATTTAAATATATGCATGATGCCTTAATTTCTGTTTCAACCTCCGAAACTTTATCGACCTTCCTACGCCAGTGTCTAGATGTTTTAAAAATTTAAATAAAAAATTTAAAAGATTATGCTGCAATGACTTTTATATATTGATTGTTTGTTTAACCAATTTTCGATAGTTATGGCAAAAAACTATACTTGTTAAATTTAACAAGGCACTTTATGAAATTTATAAATAAATTTAAATTTTCTTTTGTTTCATTAGATGCAGTTCGACTCAATCCATTGGCAAAAAAAGCTACAGTTACTGAAGTAGAAGACGTAGTGCAGGATTGGCTTCAAAACGCAAAAGATAGGAGCCAAGGTCGCGCAAAGCGGAGAAGATTAGAGTTGAACGACAAACTTGCAAATAATGTAGAATAAAAGGAATAAAAACAAATGTAGAATAAAAGGAATAAAAAATATAATCTTGGCTTTATGAATACTGATATCGGCCCAACGTCGTTTTACTGATATCGGCCCCACGAAATCGGGCCTACATCATTCTGATGAGCAAAAACTACGTTGGTCCGACGTAGTTAAACTACCATCGGCCGCTGTAAAAGCCTACGTTGTGCCGGCGTCGGGCCAACGTGTATATGTTATCTGGCTTGTTGTGTTCCCGATGCGGATCATACTTAATACCAGAAATGAACGCCTACTCAACATTTCTTTTTTAATAAAATGTTGTATTTGTGTTGCATCGCTTTAAAGATATACAATATGTCTTTGTGATGCTATATTAACTGAATTAAAATTAAAAAAATTATCGCAGCTTTCATTTTTTTCTCGCTTAACATATGGTCAACTACTAAAGCAAAAGACGGTCAACTAATTTTTTTTTTTTTTTTGCGATGGACATTTATAGTGCCCAAGCGCATTACGTATAAATTAAAATCCGCAGCTAAAGCAGTAATTTTACTTGCCTCAAAAACGAGCATTTCGAGGTATTTTAAATCTTTGCTATACACGATACGAATAAAATAAAACTCTTTAATAAGCATTATTTTTGTTAACTTAAGTTTAGTAAGTAGAAAAAATTTAAAAAAAAAAAGAAAATATCACACATGAAGCTTTACTCACCCGTCAAGTTAACCAAGATTTTATCGCGGATTTTACTACCAGTCTAATTCTTTAATAAAACTTTCGAAGATCAATTTTTTAAAGGAAGTCTTATATATAATTGGAAAGAATAAAAGTTGAGCTATATTATTCAGCATAGTATTATTACCAGCCATTTTTTCACGAAGATTTGAAGCTTAAAAGTTGGGTAATATTTCACTAATTTTCTACTATTCATAAAACAATTGGATTTATTTCGACACTTTTATGTATGTTACCTTAAGTACTTAACTTATACAAACATATTAAATTTATAAATAATTTAAACAATATAATTTTATGATGCATTATTACTTTATTATATATAAACTATAATTTTTTTAATATAATTTTCTTCGAGGCATGATCGGTGGTTTTAATGAATTTGCAATTAAGTTGTTTCTTATAAAATGATCTCTCATTATATATGCTTGAGTATATTCTTCCAATATTATTGAATTCTGCATGGATACTCTCGCCACCTTGCTCCCCATATAATCCAAGGCCAACTCCTCATGTGCTCAAAAAAACTCCTATATGATTTTCTAACATGTGCATTTTTGGAGTTATTGATTCATTAGGCCAAGTGCTTCTAAAAAACTTCATTAGTTCGCATACAGTTGTTTCTACAAAACAAACTAACATGTATTAAAAAAAAAAAAAACATAATAAAATAATACTCTATATTATTGACAAAATATCTTTATTTATATTTATTAAAGATTATAATACTCCTTAAAAAAATACTTCTGTAAATAAAAAACTACTTCTGTAATGCAACTATTAATGAAAAAATTTCCGAAACTCTTTATATTTTCTTCGTTAAATAAGTGACATGAATTATATAACAATTATATATATATATATATATATATATATATATATATATATATATATATATATATATATATATATATATATATATATATATATATATATATATATACACACACACACATATATATATATATATATATATATATATATATATATATATATATAATTTGATTTTTTTAGAGTATCTATTTTATCACTTTTATTAAAAGAATTGAGCATATAAGTGCTGCTTGTTGTATTTTTGCTTTTTTGTTGGCCCTGCATTATCTATTAGCGATTGGTCGATTTGATTTTGCTGTCTTTGAATGGTTTTCTGACTGCTGATGATTTGAAGCTCTTTGGAGTCACTGAAATTGTATAGCTTAATTCGTGAAAAAAAGTTCATTTTATGCAAATACTTAACATATCAATTTATGAAATTAAATATTTTTGTAAGAAAAATTTCATTTCTTACCCTTGGACCACCAGAAGAAAGTTCAAATGAATGTGATTTGTTTCTTGCCATTTTTAGTTTTGCAAAGTGAGCAAATGCATAGTCTAGTTCTTTAGGAATATCATTATTTTTTTTAACTTTGTAAATATCTGTAACTGCCAATGAAGAGGAAGACAATGCTGAACAATTGTATGATATGTTTCCGCTTTTGCATACATGTTCATGTTCCACTTTATTGTTTATACTTTTTACATTAAATTTTTTATTACATGAGTTCTTGGAACACTTTAGAACTATATTCTCAAGGATATTTTGCATAATTGTTGCTTTAGAAATGCTACCTAGAGATATATTCGAGCCGCATATTTTGCATTTTGCTTCTGTTTCTGATTTTCCAATTAAATTTCAAAAAATGCATGAAGCAAAAAATTAATTTTGGCAGTTATTAAGTAAAATAGGCCAATGTAATATTCTTTAGAAATCTTGCAGACACATAAATCTTTGTGGGGGTTAACAGCTATGCTGATAGACTCATAGCAAAGCGAGGCATTACTGAAAAACTGTCTAATATTGCATTAACTGACTTTCTTGTCCAAATATCTTAATTAACTTCTGGTGGTCATCCACATGATTTCTTTTTCTTTCTGCCAGATTTCTTTACAAAACATATACAGCTTTTGAATGAGCATGTTTGTGGCCAGTCAGTTAAAATGAAATTAGAAGTTATTCCTCGTTGTTTAAAATGTCTCATGTTCAATGTATAACATTTCATGCAAAATTTTGGTGGGTGGATCTCTGTTCTGTCTTCTCCTACATCAGTGAAAAATGCTTGGTTAATCCTAACTATAATATTTATCACATTAAATGAGTCAGTTCCAATACAATTTCAACATAATCTGCATAGTTTGATAAGACACAAAATGTGGTTAGCAAAACACAAAATGTGGGAAGACGAGTGCTGCTACATCGATTGATCTTGAACCCAAACCTCAGTCGATGTAGCAGCATTCCCTTGCATGGTATCCATAAATTAGTCAATGTAGCAGTACTCTCCTACATTTCTCCCCAAATCAGTAATATATCTGGTCTTCGTTTTTTGAAAAATCAAAACCTTATTTTGAGTCATAGTATCTTTCGCTCACCATTAATGTTATAGTGTTTAGATTTTTTCTAACATAACACTACGGGAAACGTTAAATCCAATCCGTCAAAGTGCTGTTTGAACAGTTTTTAAAAATTCTAGACCCGATTATGGCATTTACAATGTCATATAAATGTTATCAAATTAATATTAAACGAAAATATTATTAATAATATCATGATTGATAATAAATATTTAATACAAATGTTATTAAATGTTATTAAAAATCTCAGAGTTTCTTTTATTTTAAAGTACAACTATATTACCGTTGGAGATCGCTTCGGTCAGTAAAATTTAGATTGTACTTTGAAGGATTGGATTTAGTGTTTTCCTAACACAAAAGCTAACATGTTTCGGACTAAACGGGCAAATAAACTTTACACAAATCAAAATCGAGAGTCAGGAAATAACTCATCCTAGCAGAAGTAGTAGTCGCCATATAAGTGCACTTTTTTTACTTTAAAATTTCTAAAACTTAAAAAAATGGCTGGTAAATAAACTTAGTATTTTTTAAAAAATGTTCAAATTTAAGTTTTAGAAACAATTTAGTTCTTGAAATGAAAAATTGATTTAAAAAAGTTAAACAAGTTTGAAAAACATAAATATTTTTTTAATATAGATTTTTAAATCCAGTTAAAGTTTGCCAAAAACCGATTGAAGCAGGATTTCTTTAAAATTAATATAACCATTGGTCCTTTAAATGTCTATAAAATCTTCGAATGAGATAAAAAAAACATTAATAAGTAGAAAATATAATAGTTTTAGAATGTGTGACTATCTTAGTCGTCTTATAAAGATATGAAAATTTTTACTTTTACAAAAATACATATAAACGCATGCGCACTGTAAATGTTCATATTAAACGACCGTACATTGCACTCGATTCTACAAATAAAATGAGGGGGGGGGGGGGTGAATCCTCAAAAAGTACAGACTAGTTTCTTAAAATGAAAAGAAAAAAAAAAAAATTCCTCAAAGCTAAAATTTAACTGACTGAATTGAATTCGCGTACAAATAAAAGTTCTATTATGAAAACCTTATCTGCACGCACGTACAAATAATTTCGTTTCGACTTCGTTTAAAAAAAGCAAAAATAATCCTATTTTATTATTTTCGCTAAAAAATTTGATTAGCAAACGTGCGTATGAATACTGCGCATGTATGTCGGAAGAATAGCTATTTTACTTTGGGATCGATAAGTCGGAACAATAACCACGTCCTTTGTTTGTTTTTTTTTTACTTTTTCAAACTATTATTAGCAGCAACTCAAAGCAGATGATGTCAAGTACTCGCAAAAATATTCTCTTTCAGTCTAAGCGTCCAATTAAAATGTAAAAAATTGTATAAATAAATAAATATTTCAATTAGCTTCATTGTTAATTCACAACTAAAGGAGACTGAATTTCATCGTGTTTAACCGATATGTTCCAAAAACTTGATTTATTTAAAAATACAAGAGAGTTAACTTCCTAATATTGTTATTATTATTACTATTAATATTATTGTTACTACTACTTATTATTTATTATCTTATTTTATACTATATTTAATATTATCCTTAAAAGGGTCACGGTGCCGGTTTATAACTGAGGAGGAGGGGGAAGGCAAAAAAGTATATTTTTAAGTTAATGTAAGTATATTTTTACAAATATTACTACTACGTTTTAATAATTAATTTTAAGTAGTAAGTATTACAAATAACTTATTGTTAAAAATACTCTTAATAAAGTACTCTACGTATGTACCAAATCTAAAAAAATAATTTTTTTGTTAACACAAAGAAACAAAGAATATTTGTTCGTTTAAAATCGATTGTTTGCATGTCACAATCATAACCGCAATCCATCACACACAAATAAAATTCCAAAAAAAAAAAAGAAAAATATAATGCAATCAAAAAAAGATTGTTTAGATGTACATGCTACGAAAAACATTCTTACAACAAATGATATGATATTAAAAATTAATTCCTATTCTAAACTTTTCTTTTTATTTGATACATATTTTATATTCACAGATGTTTGTTCAAACAAGAATTTTTTTTTTCCCATACATGCAGAAATTTTGAAATATAGATGTATTTTAAAATATTACAAGTTTAATGTAAAATAACCTTTCGCTCGAAACAGAGTTATTTTACAGATAGACGAGGGTGTGTAAATTATTATTTTCAGCATTATTATTGATGGCGACAATAGCTTATTATAAAAAGTGACGTATTGTAGATATATTTTTACATTACTTATGAAATATTATTATTGCTATTGTTATTATTATTATTGTTATTATTGTTATTGTTACTATTATTATTATTACTATATACATATGTATATATTACACATATATTTATATATACATTATATTTAATATATATATATATATATATATATTATATATATATATATATATATATATATATATATATATATATATATATATATATATATATATATATATATATATATATATATATATATATATATAATATAAATGAATATATATACACACAAGTATATACACACATGTATATATATATATATATATATATATATATATATATATATATATATATATATATATATATATATATATATATATATATATATATATATATATATATATATATATATATATATATATATATGTATATGTATATATATATAATTTGATAATTTAGCCCTAATACAAAAAGAAATAATATGGGTGTCAAATTATAATATATAGTTATTAAAATTTACTACATTTGCAAGTCACTATTGTTTTTACTAATGCTATAGTTAACCATGATATATTTATTATATAATTAATTGATTTAGAAAATGTGTATAATATAAATATATCTGAATTTTATTTTCAGATAATGAAGATATTTACTTTATTGTATCTTTTTGTTGTGTATGTTTCGTCTCAAAACTTGAACAAATGTCAGAATGTAAAGAATTTCGATCAAAAAGATGAATACTCAGAGAATCGTCTAACTAGTATAACATTTGGTAATTATACCATTCAAGCTCTTACTACGTTCACTACTGGGGAACAAGGTTGTAAAATAGTTAGTCGTGATGGTTTGGTACGAACTTATGCAATTAAATATGCAATTGATCTTGCTAACAATAATACTAAACTTAAAAAATGGGCAAAGATTGGAATGCGATTGGATGATGATTGTGCAAGTTTACCTATAACAATGGCAAGAGGTATTGAGATTGTATCACTGATAAGAGAAAATTCTGTTTGTCGTGCAGAATTTTTACAATGCTCCAATTCAACTTCGAATGATTCTTCATATGTGCATCCAGCTGCTGGTATTATTGGAACATCCATGAGTTTTACTACAATTCCTTTGGCAAGTTTAATGTCTCTTTATTTAATTCCTCAAATAAGTTTTTCTGCTTCAAGTCGTTTGCTTAGCAAAGTTGAATTGTACAAATCTTTTTTTCGGACAATACCTTCAGATGTTAACCAAATTTCAGTAATGCTTGATGTTATTGAAGCTTTTAATTGGAATTATATTTTTGCAATTGGTTCTGATGATGACTATGGAAAACTAGGCATTTCTGAGCTTGAATCTCGTGCTCGCAATAGAAGTATATGCATAACTGAAACTCATTATGTAGCTTATAAATCTCAATCAACATTATCTCGTATTTCGTCTATTGTAAAAAACATGATTGCTAATTCAAAGGCACTAGTTGTAGTTCTTTTTTGTTATGTAGAAAATCTGGGAGATCTGATTTTAGAAGAAGCAAAGAGAAATGGTGTAAAACGAATTTGGTTGACAAGTGATGCTTGGAATCCTCCAGCATCAGATTTAAATGTAACTTTAAAAGACCAAGCTCATGGTATTTTATCAGTTTCTTTAAAGAGTCATAAACTTCCTAAGTTTGTTAAGTATATGACAAAAGAAATTCAGACTGATTTTTTATGTAACATGTGGTTACAGAATTTTCTCAAAAATACATATAAATGTGAACCATTTGATATTTCTTCTGATAAATTGACTCTTATAGGCAATAATTGCACAGTTAAGATAAATGATCTCATAAAAGAATTATCTAACCTTCCTGGAAAAACTAGCAATTTAATTGATGCTGTTACTGTTCTGACACGTGCTATTCAATCTTATTTAGAAATAAACTGCAATTCAGATATCAGCTGCTCAATTGCTACACTTGACTATGCTAGTTTAACCAATATAGTAAAAAATGTAACCTTCAATAATAGTCTACATGAATTAATTAAGTTTGACATAAATGGGGATCCTGAGTTTATTTTTTATACAATTGAAAACCTTCAGTTCATCAATAACTCTTTTCGATATATTCCTGTTGGAAATTGGAGTAAAACTCGTTTAAAAAGTTTGCTTATTGATAAAAAATCAATAAAATGGCCATCTTGGTTTAATTTTGAACAGAATACCTCTCGATGCAGCGAAGACTGTAAAAAAGGACAGTATGTTACTGCAAAAATTGGATGTTGCTGGAAATGTGAAAATTGCACAGATAATAACTATAGCGACACTATAATGGCAGAGACATGTAAAACATGTGAGGTTGGGAATCATACAGAAGATCATATTGTTTGTAAAGTAACACCTATTAAATGGTTAAAATATTCAGACACAGAAGGGATAGCAATTATTGTAGTAAGTGGTGTAGGGTTGCTTTTGAATGTGCTTGCATTTATACTTCTTTTAAAATTGCGTTCTTTTCTCTCTTCTGATGGATCTCTTCCATGTATTGTGCTTTCATGTATATTGCCTTTTTTTACTTTTGTATTTGGATTTCTTTATATTGTAAAGCCAACAGTTTATTTGTGTCATTCACGTAATGTCATTTTTTTCTTGTTACTAATGGCTTACTCTTCTGTTTTAATGATTAAAACAAAAATAGCACGAAATTATTTGGAGAGTCGCCTTGAGTATATTGTCAAAGGACATTTGTTTGCTAAGCAAACTATATTAATGATAATATTAATGTTGATTGAAATAGGATCAATTATTGCATGGATTATCGCTGATTCTAAAAATGATATTGTGCAATCGGAGCAAGTTAACTTTGAAATTCAAAAGCGATGTTTTGTTGATTTTACAGCTGCCAGATTAGTTTCAACATTTATTCCATTTATTTTGTTGATTATTGCTACATGTTGTGCATTTCAAGAACGTAATAATGAACATCCTTTTTATGAACCAAAATTTTTAAGTTTTACAACCATAGCATTGTGTATCATTACAGTTGCGTTTTTACCTACATTCAAATATGTAAAGGGTAACTTCAAAGGAATAGTAATGGTGTTTACAACCTGTGTTTTTGGATTTACATATATGGCATGCTTAATTTTGCCAAAAATTTATGTAGTGCATGCAAGGCAAAATCGTAAAGATTCTTTTTCTGACCCATATATTAAACCAAGTAAAGTTTCAAAGCCTGAAAAAGAACAAGAGGAAAATGGTTCTACAGAAACTACATCATCTGATATTAAAATTAAAAATAAAAAACTTACTTCATCATTGAAGTCTTCAATTAAAACATGAACAATATTGAAGTATTATTATCAGAAATGTTTATTCACTAATTCATGAAAAAAGTTTTTACATTAATCTTTTTACTTATGTTTAAAAAAAGAATAAATTATATAATATAATAAAGTTTAAATTATGAAAATTAAAAAAGATATTCAACAAAGTAAATCTTTATTTTGATTCTAAATAATGTAGAAAAATTTAGCCTTGAAAGTTAAAAAGGATTTTTTTATTTTTTTATTTATTTTAAATTTTCATTTTATTTCTTTTTCAAATTCTGCTAAAAAAATCTTTTAAATAAAATATTGTGGAAATGTTTTATATTTTATATATGGTGTAGAAAATATAACAACTGATTTTATGTATATAGCTATATAATATGTTATTCACACCCTATTTATTTTTTATCTCATATTTCTAGGAAAAGTAAATATGTTTAAGTAAAAAATTATATATATACAACCCTCGGAATTATGAAAAATGAGGCAGCAATAACTTGTCGACTTCAAACTGTTAGAGGTTGGGAAAAAAAGTTTGACACAAAGGGGTCACCATAAAACATAGAAATGAGGTCGGCAATTTTTTGCCGACCTTAAACACTTTTAGGTCGGCAGTTAGGTCGACCCTAATTCCAAGGGCTGTACATATATGTATATATATGTATATATATATATTTTGTATATATATATATATACATATATATATATATATATATATATATATATATATATATATATATATTGTATATATATATTTTGTATATATATATATATTTTGTGTATATATATATATATATATATATATAATATATATATATTTTGTATATATATATATATATATATATATATTTTTTTTTTTTGTATATATATATATATATATATATATTTTTTTTTTTTTGTATATATATATATATATATAATATATATATATATATATATATATATATATATATATATATATATATATATATATTCATATATATATATATATTGTATATATATAATATATATATATATATATATATATATATATATATATATATATATATATACATATATATCATGGAAATTTATATCTTTGATATCCTCAATTACATTAAAGTGTTTGTGTCTTCATATTAGGTTTCAGTTTTTTCAATATTTCAAAGAAATGGTGCTTAGTGAGATGTTTAAAAATATGTGCCACATTGAAAGAAATCTCCAGTGCATAAAAGATATGCCCCGTGTTGGTGTCAATAATATTAGAGATTTTAATGGGGCTTTTCGAAAGGTTTATTGTTGATTATATAACATAAGTTGTCATAGTCATAATATAATTTCCAAAGTCATTTTTTTGCATTGTGAGAACAAACAAACTTAAGTAAAAATAGGGATTTATGTAAATAAAAAAAATTTACTTTAAAAATTTTATTATGATTGGTTCAAGACTTTAGGTGTTTACACCATACTATATAAGGAGACTCAAACTACATTCCAGCTACAAAATTCCGCAAAAATGACTTAGGCAATTTTTGTTATGCCCATGAGAATTTAATTGATTTTTATATATTTTCTTACATATTTATAGAGGCAGCCACATGATTAAAGCCACATCTAAGTTATTAACAAAATAAATCCTTATAATTAACACATTTAGTTATAAATTTAAGAATTAAAGTGCACAAATGCAATGCAACTAAATAAAACTGCCAAATATGAAATAATTCAACATGTTTTAACCAATAGGTTTTTGTTATCCTGTTAGTTCCCCTTTGGCAAATAAAACTGCTCCCATTCAGCTTAACAGACTCTACTAATATGTGACAATACCCTGGTGTTATTTGTTTTACCCATACCAGCTTTAATTTTGTAGCCAAAATAACTTCCAATGTTAGATGCATTTCATGTCTACTAATGCTTAACTTCCATTCAACGGTGTTCAACATTGTTAAGATCTGAGAAAGTCCTAGATTATGGATTCAAACTAAAATGTTACTTGTTGAAAGCCATATAAATCAGCTCCGGCCACACTCTTAGCAGGGTGGCAAGGGCTAAATTCTGTCAAAATTTAGAGTAATTTTGTAACTGCATGAATAGTGGCAGCTCCTATTTCAATATGGACAGCTCCTATTTCAATATGGCAGCTGCTTTAATTGTTGTTTTTGCTGGTATTACTCAAAGACCACATTGTCCACAAACAGAGGTTGTTTTTTAGGTATTTTGTTGTGTCTTAAGTGTTGCAGTAATTATGTTGGCCATTCGGTCTATGCACCCTTTTAGGTAGTTATAAAATAGTTTGATGTTAGTTTTGTCAGAAAAAATAGCTTTAAACCAATTTTGGGTTCATATTTTGTAGCATTTACAATGTGCTAACCTGTCAAAATTAGCAGCAAGGCAGCACCAAAAGGTTTTTAGGCTAACAATGATGCTGCAAACAAAGATAAAAATATGAATAAATTAGTTGTAACCAATCAATAAATTTTTCCATTATCTAATGACTCCTCTGTATTCAGATTTTTTTTTGGCAGCAAATGGACCTGTTTTCGCATAATTTGTGAAGCACAAATTATTCAACTAGTTAAGTCAACTCCATAATGTTTTTGTATACTTTTGTATAATGCTTTGTTTTAGTCCTTGTATGCATTTTAGGAAAATATTTTATTTTACTTTTGGCGGCATCATGTAAAAAATCAGACATTTTAAACGAACTTGCTCAGTTTTTTTATTTTAAGAGATCAAGTCCTTTATTATGTATAACATGAAGTCCTTCGTTACTTAAAATAACAATATATTTGACCAGCGTACTATTTTCTGAATTGACAATATTTTATTTTATGCATGATTGCCAGTGATCATCACTCTGCATTAAGTGTTATAACAATTTATTTTTGATTTAATATTTTATGTATGTGTGTATATATATATATATATATATATATATATATATATATATATATATATATATATATATAATATATATATATATATATATATATATATATATCAGGGTGTTAACCAGGAATAAATTTTTTACCATGTTTTTGAGATATTGGGAATATTTATTGTTATTGGGTTATTGCTCTACGAAATATTGGAATTTTTTATTAAAGTTGTCCTGTTACTTCAAAAACAAACAAAATAAGGTCATTGAATTTTGGGAGTTTTAAACTCATTTGGAATTTCACCCTATATGCAGTGCCATAGGGCTGGCTAATGCCCTGTGTATGTATATATATATAAATATATATATATATATATATATATATATATATATATATATATATATAAACAAAATTTTTTACATATCTGCATTGTATAAAACATCATTGATTGTGTCATATTAAAATAGCCATCTTTTGGGGCTTCACTACATACATTTACTATATGGCTTAGTTGTTTTTAGATTAAACAGGTAAAATCTTGACATAAAGGGCTTATACTAGGGCCAATGATTTTTTTTTTTTTTTTTAATCAATTTTTAAAACTGTCTAGATCTAAATTCAAATCACATACACGCACACACACATACATCTATATGAATGCAGTATTAAATACACACTGATGACATCATACTGAAATAGGTAGCTGCAGGAGCTTTGCTACATACATCAACTATCTAAGTAGAATATGCAAGGGATTATCGCTACATTGACTGAGGGTTTGGGTTGGGACAGCAATAAATTTTTTCATTGTTCTTTGCTTTTTCTTTATTTAAAAAAAAAATAAAGTTTACAATTTAAGAATTAAAGTGCACAAAATTTATTAAGAAAATGCATCCTTAGATATTTATTATTTGTTGCATATACGACAAATATATTTATTATTTGTTGCATATACGATAAATATGCAACAAATAAAGTTTAGAAAAAGAAAACTCTTGGACAATGCTTTTCTTTTACCAAAAATAACATTAATAATATTAATGAACTTTGTGTTCTTTAAAATCACTCAAATTGCATTATTAATGTTCCCTATGAACGCCAACCATTAATGCTTCTACCATAATGTAACATTACAGTTAACATTATAGTAACATTACAGTTTTTGATCCAATTGTAAGTTTTAGTGTTTTATAAATGATTTAAAAGTTTTATTTTTTTTAAACATGTTCTTGGGAGTTTTTGGATGTTCTTTGAAAGTTAACTCCCAAGCTACTTTATTACTATAGGTTTTTTTAAATTTTTAAAATAATCTTTAGTAAACTATGAGTTATTTAATTATTTTAACGAAAACAAATAAGAAACAAAATGAGTATAACAATGAAAAACATGTAAAAATATATTTTTTGAAAAATTTTTTTTTTAACCCCTTAAATAACTAATTTTATTGCTTTATATTTGAATGTGAAATCAAATGTTTATACTCATTAGCGAAAAGTTAAGGGTCGTGGGCCTGGCTCTGGACATGGGAAGACTGGAGGTGTAGGTCACAAAGGTCAAGGACAACGTGGTACACAAGCTCGTATTGGCTTTGAAGGTGGTCAAACACCATTCTATAGACTAGTTCCAAAGCACGGATTTACTAACAAGTTGTAAGTGTAGATTTCATTTTAATATCATTACTTTTGTTAATTGGATGATGGTTATTGATGATGATAATAGTGATGATGATGATGTTGATGATAATGATGGTGATGATAGTGATGATGATGATGATGATGATGATGATGATGATGATGATGATGATGATGATGATGATGATGATGATGCATTTTAGATTCAAAAAAGAATATGCTACAGTGCAATTACATCGTCTACAATATATGATTGATAGCAAAAGAATTGATCCTAATGAAAAAATAACCCTTAGTACATTATGGAAGTCTGGTGCTGTTTCTGGAAGAATAAAAGATGGAATTAAACTTCTTGGCGGGGTTTGAACATTTAAATTTAGATAAGTTAAAGATAAAAATTATTTCAATATTTTTTTTGTTTTAGAGTAGTTTCATTTCAAATAACCCAGGTCATGTCATCATACATCTCAGATTAAATATTTTTTTACTTAAAAATTTGTAACTGGCTATTTTTGGGGTTGACAAATCCAATAAAATGACCAGAAAAATAAAAAATTGTTATTAAGTACCTGTAATTATCAATTTAAATAAATTTAAGCAATTTTTTATATACCTGTTTTAAGAAACCCATGTGGCCTTGATGGTATCAAAAAAAAAAAGTATTACACATTATTCTGTATTCTTTGATCTTTCAAAAAATATAATGTTTTTGATCTGCAAGTATACGGATTTCCATATATGGATAATGGGGCACAATCCCCACTTTTTGTAGCAGAATATTAAAATTGTTTTTTCACTACCTTCCAGATTAGCTGGAGTCTTGAGACTTTTGGCATTTCTGTAGTGCCAATGAATGTGCTTTTTTAAATTGTTTTCAGTGTCACAAGACATTAGGGGGGACTGGGGAGTGACTTTTTTTTAGTGGAATCTTGAGATTTAGATTTTTTATTACTTCCCAGTACTCTTTTGTTGTTCTGATGAATGTGTGTTAAAATTGTTTCAAGGGCAGGCGACCAGAGGCTCCATTGCCCAGCGCACTGGGGCCATGTCCCACTTATTTTCCCCCCAAAAAATGTTTTTTTTTTTTTTTTTTGCATTTTCAATAATGTAAAGACGACTTTAAAAAATATTGTCTTCAACAAATTATTTGGTTTGTACTTGTTTGTTTTATTTGATTATTTACAACGTAAAATACGAAAACATGAAGTAAAAATATATTAAGTTGTGTTTAGATTTGCCTAGATGCGTTAGCTGTCAAAGTATACATACATCTGGTTGTTGTTACAGGTGCATTAATGATACAAATTATGTTGGTAATCGGAACCCAATACTCGTCTGCTCTAGATGACCAGAAAGTTGGTTAAAAGGACCAGGTGGATGCATAAATGTTAACATAATATCTTGCTCAATATTGTCAATTTCATTTATCATACCAATCCAATGAAACATATCATATTTAAATAGAATAAATTCACCAAATTACAATGTATTAATAGCTAACAGTATCTATAAATTCTGAGTTAAATTAATGATAGCTTCTAGTTCTAGGAATTGTTTCATTTAGCTGAAAATGTTTTTTTCAAAATGGTGCACAATTCTGTCTTTCTTTTTCAATCTTTCAAAAAAAAGTATTCTCTTCAATTCAATATCTGGTCATTAAGGCCTTTGTAGACTTGCATTTGCAGTTAATAGTTTTATAGTGCCACTAATGTCATCATCACATGGTGACTTACCATGACTTTTAGCAAAAAATCAATTTCAAAATCATCTTTATGTAAACAGATATTGTATAAGTTTTTGTGGTTTTTATACTGTGCAGCACAACCATCTAAAAAATAAAGAATCTTTGAAATATTAGGATAATTTTCTTTTATATGATTAACTATTTGTGCCTAAACTTTATACATAAAATCAATGTCATGCTCATTATCTTCTGGTATGAAGCAAAATAATTTTTCTTTAAACAAGTCATTTTTGTTTAAAAAATAGAAGGCAACCGGGTGTAACTTGAATTGACTTTGGCACTGATGCTAACTTTAGATTTCATCTTGAATCACAAATGTGTTTAGTTTTCTGCAAAACAATACAGCAGTCTTTTGCCAACTTTTCTTTTTGTTACCTTGGTTACTTGCTTGACATTTTGCAATGTAGGAATGAGCTGTTAATTTGTTTATCGGCTCTGATAACATCAATTTGTATTCTTTAATTGTTGTTCTTTGACAGATCATTGTTGTTCTATCTGTTTTCTTTTCAAATCAAAAAGTTTTAAATTATACAATGTAAAATTTTGTTAAAATCATTATTTTAGATGGATGAATGTTTTTAATTTAACTTGCAAATAACTTGCAAATCAAAATTTTTAAAGATATATGTACTTTCTTAAGACATTTTAAGAAAGATCACTGAGTACATTTTCAAAAACTAAATGGAACAAATATAAACCATAAAAATATATTTTTTTAAACTTTTTTAAAGTTATCTTTACTTTGTTGAAAATGCAAAAAAAAAATTTTTTTGAGAAAAGTGGGTCATCTCTTCCAGTGGCGGCCCTCTGGTCGTCTGCCCTGGAAACAATTTTGACACACATTTATTATACACATTTTATATACACATTTATATAGGACTATACAAGTACTGAAATTTTCATAGCTCCAGTTTGTCTGGAAAGTAGTGAAAAATCTATCACAAGATTCCAATGAAAAAAAGTGGGGTCTATGAATCAATTCCCTCCCCACTGGTGTCTTGGGTCTAGAAAAAAACTTTAACATGCACGTTCATCGGCACTACTGAAATGCCAAAAGTTTCAGAACTCCAGCTAATCTGGAAGGTAGTGAAAAATCAATTGCAATACACCGCTACAAAAAAGTGGAGACGCCGTGCCCCATTTATCCATTTATGGAAATCCATTTACTTGCAAATCAAAATCTTTATATTTTTTGAAAGATCAATAAATATTGAATGTGCAATATATATTTTTTTTGATATCATCAAGGCTGCATGGGTTTCTTGAGCATTAAAATCAGATATATAAAAAATGGCCTAAATTTATTTAAATTGATAAATACAGGTACTTAAAAATAATTTTTTATCTTTCTGATCATTTTATTGGATTCGCCATCCCTGAAAATAGCCAGGTACAGATTTTTAAATAAAAAGATTATATATTTTTAAAGTTATGCAACTTGAAACCTCTAAATAAACGTTGTGATTCTGAGGGGCCTGGCTAATATCTTTTAAAAGTAAAATAGTCATATTTCAGGATCTTTATGGAGCCAAAGGCTAAAATTTTCAAGGAATTCTTATTTTACTAAGTATTCTCAACTGTGTAAAAATCAGCAAAATCTGAGATATAGGGTGGCATTTTTAAAAATTTATAGGTCATTTGACATGGAATTACCTATTAAACAATTCAAGTATATATATTTTATGTTATTGCGTAGGGATCCACATGGTTTGAAGGTAAAATTGATATTGAAGTTACGCGTGCATCAAAATCTGCAATCGAGGCTGTTGAAAGAAATGGAGGCACTATAAAAGCTGTTTATCATGATCGAGTAGCACTTAGGTGCGCACTAAAACCAGAAAAATATGAAATAATGCCAAGACCTGCTCGACCTAATAACAAACTACTTTTATGGTATTCAGACCCAGATAATAGGGGTTATCTTGCTAATCCAGAAGAAATTAAAAAAAGACGAGAAAGTATGGTCAATCTAGGTCCTGTTGTTCAAAAGGTTTCTACTTCTCATGAAAAAAATCTGTAGTGACATTTAGAAAATCTTGTTGTTTGTGACTAGGAAATTGTTTTTATAGTATTATAATGGACTTTGATTATTTTCCCGTGCCTCAAACATAAGAGCAACATGTTGATAAATATTTTTTGTAGTGTTCTCAAATAAACTTAAATTCATCAATGAATTTTAAGTTTAATAGTATAATCTCTCAGCGTTCAAAGATTTTGACCATTTAAAATTTGTAACCCCCTCAAATGAAAGGGGAGGGGGTTGAAACTTTTTATGTTCATAATTTTTAAACGCTGAAATATTTTACTATGAAATTTAAATTTAATCGATAAATATCAGTCTATTTGAGAAAAGTACAAAAAATATTTTATCAACTTGTTGCTCTCACGTTTTGGGCATGAGGACAGAAATATTAGGATTTTTCGTTCCTAGGCTCCAATCATCGCATTATTTTGCAAAGCATCTTTATTTGACATAAGTATAAATATATATATATATATATATATATATATATATATATATATATATATATATATATATATATATCTACTATAGCATATATATATGCGCAATTGCTCATTTTTTTTGCTAGCCTAATTTAAGTGAGCGTTTTTAGAAAACGATGAGGGAAAACGAAGAATAATGAATGAAAAGGTTGCTGACCCATACCAAACCCTCAGTCGATGTAGCAGCACTCCGCGGCGAGTCAGGCTATTTGTCAGTCGATGTATGTACTGAAGCCCCCGGCAGCAGGCTATTTGACATTAGGTGAATATGACATCATCATGCTCACCTAACTTAGCAGTATAAGATATATATGTATATATTATGTCACATAAAGATGCCAAGCATTTTTATGTGACATAAGTATAAACATATATATATATATATATATATATATATATATATATATATATATATATATATATATATATATATATATTTATATATATATATATATATATATATATATGTGTGTGTATATATATATATATATATATATATATATATATATATATATATATATATATATATATATATATATATATATATATATATATATACAGAATTTTTATGTTTTTTTGATAATTTAAGATATTGTCAAAACTCCAAATTCAAATATGTTTATTCTTTTGCTGAATTTAAATACAATTAAGTGAAATTTTAAATTTCATTTAATTATATCTAAACGTTTAAACATATAACATTCAAAAACTTTCTAACACTAAAAGATAACTAAATGAAATTTGGAACATGACGATGATCTTGAATTTAGAATTAGTAAATTAAAATATTTTATTTACTCATTCCAATCGTATTTTGTATGAGTATTAAATCGTTTGAAATATTTTTGTTCCCAGGCTTCCATGATGATTAGAATAAAAAATGAAATTAAAACAAAAATTTTTATTTTAAAGAAACAAATAACTTTGAAAATATTAAAAAAAAAATTTTCTAAAGATTCACTTTTTAAAAAAACTTAAGGTGAGTTTCCACTTATCCATTTTTTCACGGGAACGGGAAAGGGAAGGGAAAAATAATCACGTGGGCATGCGTATTATAAGTTTTAATTTGTCCGAAGTAAAACTGCGATTGCTCAAGTGATTATTTTTCCCTTTCCTATCCCGTTCCCGTAGAAAGATGGATGAGTGGAAACTCACCTTTAGAGGAGGTTAGGTAGTGGGAAGCAAAAGCGCAAATGGCTTCTATTAACCCCTCTCCTTCTCCCTCAATAAAAAAAAAATTACAAGAATAATAATTTTGAAGATCTGTTTATTTTATTTTCGTTACGAGTTTTAGATTATTTTAGATTAAGTTTCGATAGAGTATTCTGAATTTTAAGCAATATTTTGGAAACGTGTATTTTCAACTTTATTTTGCTTTTTACGCTAATAAGTTGCAATAAAAAAAAAACAGCTGCACAAAATTGCACTATTTTGTTTAATTCACATTTGAAATTTCAACGGATTGTTAAAAAATGATTAAAAAAAAAATGTATTTTATGGTTATACAAGATGCTTGACATAATAGTTATTTTTATATCATTTGTTTTAATCATAACCTTTAATTGTTTTTTATTTTCTGAATATATACCAACTATTATTTATATATTTTCTAGAATAAATAATGATAATACGTCATAGGAAGAATTAGGAAAAAAGAGCAAGAGAGGTAGAACAGCATCCAGAAGCACTGATCAGAGCATCATTTATGGCTCAGAAAGTTATTACTACAGATGAACAAAAAGTTTTTATAGTTAAAAAAGGCTAAGCAATAAATCCGGCAAACCCATAAAAAAGAATTCATCAAGTAGCCTCAAGAATTGCCCCTGGTTAAAATCCAAAGTTTTCTTTCCGAAGAAGTCTTCAACTATGCTTGATTGAAGCAGTTAACCACATAATTAACTATAAGACTGAGTTTACTTTGTTTGATGGGAAGGTAGTGAGTGCTCTAACAAATAATAATTCCACTCAATCCTGTAATGTTTGCGGGACAAAATCTTTCCAAATGAATGATTTTGATAAAATAAATCTCAGAACCTGCGCTAATAAGGCATTATACCTTAGACTAAGTTCTCTTGACTGCTGGATTTTTACTCTTGAATCTCTTCTTTATTTATGGTATAAAATGAACATTCAGAAGTTTTAGGCAAGGACAAGTGATGAGAAATGTGGCCGAAAGAAAAAAATACTTAACAAAAATGTTAAGAAGAACTGGGCATTGTAATAGATCAATCCAGATCAGGATTTAGTAACACAAAGAATGGAAAGATTACACTTGCAGGTTCCGAAGTTTTTTCATATTATAAAGATCATTGGCGTGGATAAAGAACTTGTAGAAAGACTCTTTATTCAAGAATATTTTGACAGCCATATGTTCTTGTTATTATATTGACTCTGAAATATTTCTAAACTGCTGCATAAAGATCGCTAATTTATTTATCTCTTAAACTGTCTGTAATACCACCTAGTGTTCACAAAACTCTGAAGCACGGAGTTCAGGTATTAGAATCCTAAAAACTTTCCATTAGATTTTACTCAGAAGAGGCTCAAGAGGCTTTAAACAAAGAGATTCAAAAAGCCAGGTTGAATCATTCTTCTAAAATTTCAAGGCTAAATGTTATAAAGAACTAAATGAACCGTCTACTCATTTAAACTGATCCATCATCTATCTTATTTGTTAAATCCGAGGTTAAAAAAGATATATCGAAGTTAAACAGTATGATGAATTAAGTGCACTAAAAGTCTTGAACAGATCCAAAGTATTAAGCATATCTTTTAGAACGCAAAAGAAATACGATTGCAATTAAAATGATTGTAATAGAAGTTTCTGTAAAGTGTAATTATATTTTATGATTGTTAAAGATCGATTTGCGTTAATTGTAAATAGTTGTATATAATATAAAGTCATATTTGTAAACACCAAGAGAATATGATTGTATATAAATTATGTTGAGTTGCATTAGAAAATATATATATATATATATATATATATATATATATATATATATATATATATATATATATATATATTATTATTATTATTATTATTATTATTATTATTATTATTATTATTAATTATTTCAGTGATCAAATACAAATACAATAATCCATTTATAATTTGATGAAGAGGTGCTACACCAGGCCCCTCTATGCTGACGAACATGGAGATACAGACGCTACAGACAAAGCAGTAGTTGTATCTATAAAGTTACTTACTTATGTTATTTTTGAAAGCGTTGATGGATTGAGCGTTCAATGAACGTGTTACTTGCGAAAGCGCATTCCATGGGGCGACAATTCTGTTTAAAAAAAAGTTATATTGCTCCTCACAGTTTTTTACCACCTGACGTTCTAGTTTATGGTTATGGCCTCTTAGAATATACTTATCTTTACTTTTGAACATTTTTGCGGGACGACAAAACTGACAAGCTCGAGTTTACGAGTGATTTTGAACATCTCGATAAGATCTACTCTTTTGCGGCGTTCTTCAAGAGTTGTTAAACCGAGCCGTTGGAGTCGATCTTCATAGGACAGGTGTTTAATAGTCGATATTGTTTTTGTTGCTCGTTACTGGACTTGCTTGAAAATGGTAATGTCTGATTTTAAATGCGGTGACCAGGCTTGTACAGCAAACTCAAGATGAGGGCGAATGTAAGTGAGATACAGAGTGCGCCATAAAAAAAAACTGCGACTGCGAAATGTTTTTTTGAGTCGCCCTAGCATTCTATTTGCTGCTGATTCGGCTGACTCTATTTGCGGTCTGACTTCAAGATCATTCGAGACCATCACACCAAAGTCTTTTTTTTGAGAGTACGATGGGTGCCGTCGACGTTAGACATTGAGTCATTGTACGTCGACTTGTTACATCCGCGCCAAACATGCATTACTTTGCATTTCTCAACGTTGAAATGCAAGAGCCAAATGTGTGACCATTCCACTGCTCTGTCAACGTCATTTTGGAGAGTGATGCTGTCCGACTCCTTTTTAATTATCCCTATTATTTTGCTGCCGTCGGCAAACAGTTTCATATGATGAGTAATTCTGTCCGGCAGGTCGTTTACAAAGATTACGAATAGCAATGGGCCCAAGACCGAGTCTTGAGGCATTCCACTAGTGACTGCTTTCCATTCAGAAGTAATGCTGTTTATAACCACTCGTTGACATCGATTGTTTAACCAAGCTGCAATCCAATCAACGAGAGCGCCTTGAATTCCGCACGCTCTCAGCTTATGAAGGAGGCCTTTATGTGGTACTTTGTCGAACGCATTTGTAAAGTCTGTGTAAATGACGTCTACGGCGTGTCTGCAGTGAGTTGTTTCCGTCATGATGTCCCGAGTTTCTAAATGGTTTGATACGCATCCCTTACGATAAACAAATCCATGCTGGTTTAGAGAAATTAGACCATTAGCAACGCAGTGTTCCATTATTCTTTTTTGTAAAATACTTTCCATAATTTTGCAAGGTATGGAAGTGAGCAAGACTGGCCGGTAGTTGGATGCTTTTAGCCTACTCCCCTTCTTGAAAATAGGTGTTACATTCAATTTTTTCCACAAGTCAGGAACTACACCAGTTGCAAACGAGCATTTATAGATAAGCGAAAGAGGCTTGGCAAAGGTAAATGAACATTTACTGAGGACCCGTGGATGTAAGCTATCGTAGCCGGTTGATTTTCTTTTATCAAGGCTGTTTAGGCACTTTTGTACTATGTCGATAGAGAAAATTGCTGGATCGATGACACAAACTGCTTCTGTACGACTCTCAAAGCCTGGCATTGAACCTTCGGGCTCTAAAACAAAGACTGATTGAAAATAGTCATTTAACGATGCGCATATATCACCGGTATCGGTTGTGATGTTGCTATTGACTGTTTCAAGCGATGTAATGTAGTTACTGACGCTCTGCTTGCTTATATATATATAAGCAAGCAGAGCTTCATTGCTATTATATATATATATATATATATATATATATATATATATATATATATATATATATATATATATATATATATATATATATATATATATATATATATATATATATATATATATATATATATATATATATATATATATATATATATATATATATATATATATATATTAGGGCCCTGCGAATCCGCAGTTTTTGTTTCGAATCTCAAATCAAAACAGGTCTTGATTCGCGATTCGAATCACGTTTCGAATCAACATTTTGAAGTCCTATATTTAAGCATTTTGTTATTTAATAGTATATATTTCAAAATAAAAAAAAATAAAGAAATTGTATAATCTCTTTATTAATGCTTCTTGCCCTGGCTAACCTTTTTAATGACTGATTAAGAAGGTATTTAAGGAGCTTCTTGCCCTGGCTAACCTTTTTAATGACTGATTAAGAAGGTATTTAAGTAACGTTATTTTGATAGCGCCAAAGCGCAGAATATCTAAAATATCAACATCGAAAACAAAAATAAGTTAAAACCAAATATTATTAATAAATCTTTAGAATAAAATTTAAATTACATTTTTAAAATTGCCTAGTTTTTATATATCCAATAATTTTCCGATTTTTAAAACAAAACTTAAAAATTGTATTCTACCTATTGATGTTTTATTTAAATAATTTTATAATAACCACATATTTATCGTTTTAATTGTAAGACTTTTATTTTATTTTCTCTTTCAACTTTTTTATTATATTTAACATTAGGGATCTTTTTTAGATTTTTATTTTCAATTCTTAACGCGATTTATTGTAATTTTTTATTTTTGTTTATGTCTTGGTGTAAAAAATATTTAAACTTGCGAAAGACTCTGATGATAAGATCATTATCATCTTCTTTCAGAAGTCTTGTTTGTTTGTTTTTGTAAACGACAACATATGTAAACAAGAAAAAAAAACAATTATAATTAATTTACCAGTTCTACTATGTTTAATAAAAGCTGAATCTCGAATTTATAAACTTGATCGTGAACATCATGCAAGGAAAAAATAAGCAGAGAAACTAACTTATTTGACATTTTCATTCAAGCTATACATACTTTGGATTTCCTGATTAGTTCAATCTCATTGACTAAAAGAAAATAAGAAACCGTTGTGTTTACCAGAAAAGTTAAAGGTTTGTTAGTAGTTTCTGGCAGTGATAGAAAAAATTCATCTGATATGGAATCAGATACCAATGTTCCAATTCTTATTTTAATTCTTACAAAACGATTCCCGACTTGCAATGATCTAGTTTCACGTAAAAAAAAAAAAAAAAATGAACTCAATCTACCAATCATATTTCAGAGTATTGTCAAACAGTCAACAATATATGTTATAATAAAAATATTTACCAATTTTAAACAACTAGATGTATTAAGTATATAAAATAGATGTATCTAGTATATATATATATAAAAAAGTTTTATTTTCAAATATATACAGGGTGGAGACTTACAAATGTCCCCTAACTTTAGAGAACTGTTATTAATAAACCTCTATTCCAATGAAACTGCCTCTTGCATATCTAATAACTCTCAGAAACTAAAAAAAAAATTTTCAGAACATTTAAAATGATAAAAAAATGAGAATTAGAAAGCGTGAAAAACGAGATCGTTTGTCTCTATAAAAGAAAATTTACAACTGAAATTATTAGTTATTTAAAACATCACAGATGTAGCCGCATGTTGGTATATCGTACCATAAAACGTTTTAAGGAAAGTAGATAGGAAACTCCACTAAATAGAACAGGAAGAAAATGAGTGGTTCGTACTAAATAATTAAATGTAACATTAATGTTATTCGCGAAAGAGTTAGAAGAAATCCTGCTCGATCAGGAAGATCAATTGTAAAAGAACTTAAAGCGATCCCATCAGAAACTTGATTTAAAAAGGAATGGCAAAAATTAGTTATGATAGCTTATAAAAATTATAATTATCTGCTGCTCTGACAAACAGGAATAAGCTTGAGCGTGTTAATAGATGCAAAATGATTCCAGTAAGATTCAGCCCTCCCACAAAAAGCAAAAACCGTTCAAGTATGTTGTGAGAAAAATTTATTTTGTTTCATTTCAGTGTCAAAATGGCCCGCGAGCATTTGAAATATTAGGATTTCTTTACGTGTTGGAAAAACTAAAAAATGTGAAATGCAATAATTTAAGGTTTTTTAAGTCAAAATTTGTGATGAAATTTTTGACAATATCCTCCATGCCGCTGTGATATCTGCTTTTTCAAGAGAGTTCGTACACGTATCAAAAAAAAAGGTGAAAGATTTAAAATCAATTAATTGTTTGCTTTATATATTAATGAAACTTTCAGAAAAATATAGTTTTTGTAAATTAAAACAGTCCTTTACTTTTTCTAACATAAAAACTATGAGAACTTTGTAAGTTCCCAACCTGTAAAAGTTAGGATAAAACATTGATAGAGAAATACCTATCAGTAATATTGTCGCATTTCTTTTAAAATCAGTTATGTGAATTAAAAACATTTTTAAACAATTTTTAAACAATTCTCAACCATATATACTAATATATTTGTTAAAAGTTTTATATACAAAATCACAATAAAAATCACCTATTTACATTTAAAGTAAATAAATATATTTTATAAAAACCTATTTCTCTTAACGTAAAACGACTACCTATTTGCAACAATTTCAAAATCTAAATACATCTTATAACTCCTGGCAGAGTTACATATAAGACTTTTTGACAACAACTTGTGCTTTTGCACTGTGCTTATAGATATATTACTATTTTGATAATATTTTAAATTATGATATATAATAAATTTCTATTTCTTAAAAAATATATAGCTACAATTTACATTTTTGTTCTAATATATATATATATATATATATATATATATATATATATATATATATATATATATATATATATATATATATATATATATATATATATATATATATATATATATATATATATATATATATATATATATATATATATATATAATATATATATATATATATATACATTTACGCTGCAACGTCTTCGTCCGATAACTTTGATACATCCTCATCGCTGCTTTGACCAAGGTCAGTTAATATAACTTTACCATCAGTATTTTTTACGATATTGTATTCGCTTTCAGAATTATCTTCATCAGAGCGAGGAGTTAATTCAGGAGATACATCATCATTTTTAGAGTAATGCTTAAAAAAAAAATTTCTTTATAAGACCTTAATGCCTAAAAAAAAATCATACAAAATACAAATAATACTTATTTTAAAAATGACATAGTTATGAATAGCTTATTATTATATACTAACATATACAAATAACATGATACTAAAAATTAATTTATTATTTTAATATGATAAATAATAGTATACATTAATATATCAATTATACTATTACAAGTAGTTATTTTAAAGACCACATATCTTTTATAATTAAGATCAGTTGCAGATTACAAATTAATTTCAAAAAGATGAGAAATTTTTTTCAAATTTTCTTACATATTACAATGATTTAACAATGCTGTTTTTTTTAACAGAAACTAAAATAATTATCCTTTTTTTTTTCTTCGACAAAATCTACTTACTTATTTTATCTGTTAGGTGAAAAAATAATATTTTATACTCATAAAAAATCACTTCTCAACCCTCTAACTCTGCAATAACACATAAGAAAACAAGAAATAACAAACAAGGAAACAAAAACACATCTAAATAGTATTTACTAAAAATGATAAATTTTTTACCTTTTTTGCTTGTGCCACTTCATAACAGATAAAAAAAAAAAATTAGAAAATTAAAATTAAAATATTTACCACTACATCAACCTCTTCATTAAACTGAATTGTTTTGTTTGCACTGTCAAAGTGACCATCCTCATTTCCTGTCAGCTAAATAAAAAAACAATACACATATTCATACACAAATATATATATATATATATATATATATATATATATATATATATATATATATATATATATATATATATATATATATATATATATATACACATATTTTTATATTTTTAACGTCCACAGTACTAGGCTTAAAAGGTTTAGACGGTTATCCAAAATACCATTTTTTTTATTTAAATATAACTCGTTGGAAGTAATATGTAAACATTAAAATATTTTGCAGATCTGTATTTTTGCTATATTACTACCAAGAAGGACATTCAAGATTTACAAGATTCTTCTATCTTTACCTACAATTAAGTAGAAAGAATTATGAAAAAATCAATTGCTGCCTCTACGTAAACCTTTAGTCAATGTAGTGACATACCCTTGCATGTTCTCCCTAGAAAGTCAGTCAATGATTGTACTAAAGCCCTCACAGCTTCATATTTTAGTATGTCACATTGCTAAGCTAAGTAGGCAATATTATATAAATACAAAAATATATCATTTTATCTTACACAAAATCAATATAAAAATTTAAACTTAACATGTTTCATACAAAGATTTCATACCGTGGTACTTTCTCTGCTAATTACTGAAGACATGTATCCACTTCTCTTTTCACTCCCATCATTATCATCATCATCATCATCATTGTCATCTTTATCAGTGTCTTTTTCAAAACTACTTTCATAATCAAGTGAAACTTTTTTATCTTGAATTGATTGTTCATTTTTAGAACATTCTGAATCGTCATTTGAATTTTTTGTTTCTTCTTCTTGATTCTCTTTATCACATTCATTCAATTTATGATTTAAAGGTTTATCAGATTCTTCTGTACTGATTTCATCATCTTCCTTACTATCAAAATACCCATCTGCGTCACTATCTTCTTTGTCTTCTAGCTCATTATATTTTTCAACATGAACTTTTTCTAATTTTCCTATATTATTTGATTTAGTATTAGCAACTGTATCTGATAATTTTTTAAACTCACCTTCATTACTTGAGACACTTTCTGTATCACTGTCTTCTACTTCTGAATCATTTTTATTATCAACTCTAGTGTTTTCATGAACTTCTATACTTTCATTACTGCTAACTTCACTCTCATCATCTGAAGAATTTAAAGCAGTTTTTTGCTCTTTTTGAGCATTTGCTAAGTCAACTTGTTCATGCTGCTCATTGTTTTTAAAACTAAAATCCTTTTTGTACTCCTCTTTCTCCACTTCTTTTTCTTCTTTTTCTTCTTCTTCTTCACTGCTGCTAGAACTTTTACTTTTTTTTACTTTATGTTGCTTTTTAATGTTTGTTTTATTGTCATCAGATTCAGAAGCAGAGGAATCATCAGAAATTAATCTGTTATCATTTAAATCTGGAAGTCTTTGGCCTTCATTTTCTTCAAACTGATCCTCAATGTATTTTTCCTCGCTATCCTCTAGTGTTTGAGTTGCTGTATGAACAGACGCTGAAACTAAAATTATTTAAAATTATTAAATAAAAAAAACTCTGAAATTAAATTTAAAAGATTCTGAAATTAAAATTAAAAAAATCTAAACCATAAATAAAAGATTTTTACTGTTTTGAAAAATTTATGCATTGGGGAAGGGGGTTCCAAATTAGTGGTTTTACTGTGTATGTACTTTTTGGGTGTCCCCTAACTGAATGTAATATGTACAAAAGATTATTCAGGTTAAAACCCAGGAGTTTATCTTGGACCAGCAAGTAACTACTAAGCTGTAATTCTCTGCAGTCACCCACAAAACTCACACATAATTAAGTTAACATACACAGTGTGTATCCAACTGTCGTGCAATAAAACACCATTTTGGCCTTTTATGAAATTTTATCATGAATTTTCAATTCTTCAAAATTTCAAAAAAAAGGTTCTCAGTGTTATAAAGAAACATTAAATTACTTGACCATCCAGAAAATTTTAGAAAGAATTGTTATCAATAAAATAAGAAGTAGTGTATTTATAAATAACATGCAGTTTGGTTTTAGGCCAGGAACAGGAACAACAGATGCAATATATATTGTTAGGCAAGTTCAAAAAAGATTTTTGGAAAAGAAATAAGATTTGTGGGTAGCACTTGTGGATCTTATTAAAGCTTTTGATAGAGTACCAAAAGAGAGTGCAGTAGGCTTTGAGGTATTTAGGTGTTGAAGAATGAGCTTGTAACAGTTGGTTGAATAAGTTGTAACAGAGAATGAGAGTTTTAACATGTGCATCATTAATCTTTGTGTTAAAACTATTACTCTTTAATAGTAGAGCTCAGTCCTTTTCTTTTTACTTAAGTTTTAAAAGCTTTTTTTACTTAGCTTTAAAAGCTCTCTCTAAAGAACTCAGTGTTGGTTTACATTAGTCAAAAAGTCCTATAGATTCTATAGGAACTAAGAACAAAAAAAAAAACAATAAAACTTTGATAGCTGTAAACATTTTTGTTTTAATTTAATGGGTTTCAAATTATTATTAGATCCTAAAAGACTGTTTGACTAGGGTGCGATGGGAACTATTCTATACAGATAATATATGCTTGATTGTAGAGACAGAAAAATTAATACTAAAACTTTAGCATTGAAAAGACAGAATGGAAGAAAAAGATTGTAGGATAAACACGAAACAAGATTTATGCACAAGATTGGTCAATAAAAGCTCTCTCTTATGTAATAAAAGAAAAAATAAAGTTAAAAAATATTTTCAAAAAATGCATGTAACACCCTATAAATAAAATTTCGGACAAATTTTAATTGCATTTATTACATAATTTATTTCATGCACGCAAAAAATCTTTATACTTATTTGAAAGAGGATTTTATAATCTATTTAAATTTAATTTAATTAAGTTAAAAATATTATTTAAATATTGAAAATAAAATGGTCAAAGTTTAGGACCTTGAAAAAATGATGGAAATTTTCCAAAAAAATCGAGAAAAAAGTAAAGTGTTGGTTACTAAGCAGTTTATGGAATGGGGTTTACCCAGATCAACTGCTTACGATAAAATTGTAAAATTGAAGAATGGATCTCTAAAAAGAAAAGTTGGAAGTGATCGAATCGCTAAGGCAGCTACTAAAGAAAATATTCCAAAGATTGCTGCATTTTTTGGAAATAAGTCAGGGTGCTCCCAAAAAAAAGTAGCTCAAGTTTTTAACTGTAGTCAAACATGAATTTCACAAGTATTAAAAACAATGACTAACATTTGATCTTTCAAAAAAACAAATCGCCCAGATCGTAGCCATCAGCAGATGAAAGCTATGCGTCCTAAATGTCATAAATTGTTCGAAAATTAAAAAAACTTGGATTTTATTATAGATGATGAAAGCTATTTTACCTTAAACAATAGCACATTAGCTGGTAATCCTTCTCAATGTTCTAACGAAGTAAGATACAATTTGCGTAAAAAGTACAAGGACAAGCTCTTAATTTCTAGTTGTATCAGCCCCCGTGTAATAATTCCTCTTTATATTCATCACAGGAAGCAGGCAATCAACCAGTGCACTTATAAAGAGATACTAGAAAAAACTTTACTTTCTCTAGTATCACAATATTATAAAAAAGACAATGAGTTTATCTGGTCTGATCTAGCTCAATCACATTACGCAAAGTCGGTCATCGACTTTTTAAAATTGAAAAAAATCAAAGTTGTACCCAAAGATATAAACCCAGCTAACATTCCAGAAGCAAGACCAATTGAAAACTTTTGGAGTGATTTAAAACGGCTAGTGTACGAGAATAATTGGAGAGCTGAGAATTCGGAAGAGCTTGAAGCAAGAATTAGATATTGCTATTCAAAGATGAATAAAGAAATTTTCATTACTCAAATAAAACATCTTTCAAAAAAAACTTTATAATATTGTTAAATATGGTATTTGAAATAATTATTTTAATATGTTTATAAACTATGTATACTAACATATTAACAGTTGAAATATTAAATAATAAAACTTATTAGTTCTTAAAATATTAATTTTTAAATTTTGTCCAAAATTTTATTTATGAGGTGTTATGTATTTTTTTCTGACTTATTTTAAAATTTAATAAACTTTTCTTAAAATAACTAACAGAAATTAAAACAACTTTTTACAGATAAAAATATGAAAAATATTTTTGTTACTTGGTCTTTCTTTTTCTTTATTCCTATGACCAGCACGACTGACTATGACATCAAAGCTGTTTACTGCTTCTTCTTCATCACTAGAAGAATCATTCTAGGAAGAGAATGGTAAATTTTCAGTTAACTTTTTTGATATAAAAACAAAAAACTATCAATAATATTTTACACATGTAAATATAACAATTTTTATAATATACATACATATGTTAATACAAACATACATATTTTTTCTTTTATATCTAACTATTATTAACACTAATTCTTTTATTTTTATCTTTCATTATCATTACTATTATTATTATTGCTATTATTATTATTGCTTTTATTATTATTACCAAACAACAAATAACTTATACTATTAGTCAAAATATCAAAAAACTAAATTCAATTATCAATTTAAAAAGTTCTAATTTTAAATCTATTAATCAAAGAAGCTTCAAAAGATTAAGCAAAACAGAAACATTGTTAAACACCAAGTTGATCATAAACACCAAGTTGATCATAAAAACCAACAAATCAGACGATAAGGTGGCAAATGAAATTTTGAACTCTTCTAAATTTAAAGCAGTTGATCCCTAACTGCCAAAACATAACAATTTGAAACAAACCACTGAAAATGAAACATTTACTCTTAACAGTCTCATCCACCTCTTGTAATTGAATTTGAGTTAAATGAAACTTGAATTGATTTCTGTCAGCAGAAAAATGCCCATATGTCATTAAAAAATTTAAAACAAATATTTATTCAGACTTTGGCTAAGCCAACTTTTGAAAGTCTAAATGCAGAGCAAAAAAATTGTGTAACAACATAACAATAACATAAGATAATATTAGTCTCAGAAACAAAAACAAACTTGAACACCAATTCAACCCTTTGTTATTAGCCAAACTATAACCAACTGAAATCTATTATGTTTTGACACCTCTTCCCTTAAATCTTATAAACTCGACAAACTATCTGAAACAATCTCCTATGACAAGATTTTTATTAGCAATACATGGCTCAATTAACAATCTGTTTTATCAATTATTATTTATTCAGAAAAGATTGATCCAGATATGGATGTGTTGTTGCAATTTATACTTAAACACAGATTGCTCTGCAAACTAATTTTCAATTCAACCAAGTTGAATTGAAAATTAGTTTGCAGAGCAATCTGGAATCATTATTCTAATTATTGAATACTTAAGGTAAAAAGGTTTAATTGTCAATGAAAAAATAGATATTTGTTGCATTTGTTGCTCATCATTAAATAGTGTTAACAATGAAATCAAAAAATAAAATTTTAAATGACAACAAAATGTTAATCCTTTGACTGCCCAAAAAAATTAAAAATATTTAAAAAAATTAAAACTTTTTAAAAAAAAAATTCAACTAAAAAAAGCAAAAAGAATTTTTACAGTAAATCATATATAATATATCTAAAGAAAGAAAAGTTATGCCCTATTCAGTAGTAACATTTATAAATTAGCGCAACCATTATTTTAGCATTAAAGTCACAGTTTTGATGATCACTTTAAAAGCCACATGAAAAAATCCTGGCTCACCTCACTTTAACTGAAAAGCCACGATAGTAGCTTGCCGCAGTCAAAGGGTTAATTACTGAAGTCAAACTATCTGTTAAAAAACAAATACTATAGCTTATAAACTGTTTATTTTATATTTCCTAAAATCAGTTATATGAGGACTGGGTTAACCTTATTCTGTCTCGCTCAAGGGGAAACTTGCATGCACTGCACGCTTTATATGCAATTTTTTCAAAATTTTTTCATTTTGAAAAAGACCAATTTTTTCATTTTGCTTTATTTAGAACTTATTGAAAAATTCATCTTTAGGAAACAAAACAGAACTTTAAAATGCACATATTTTTGGCACAAGTCTTGATATATGTATATTATTCCTTAAAAAAATTTCCTCAAAGTATGGAGAAAATGTAAAGCATAAATAAAATCTATACAATGACACTTTAAAGCAGGGTTGTCTAAATAATGCCTGCAGGCCACGAAGTGGCACTCAATATTGTTAGATTTGGCTCACATATCATTTTCTAATATTTAAAAAAAAATTTAAATTCATATTATAAATCTGCATTTGGATATAATAAAATGTGTGCTTTAAAACACATTGAATGTTTAAATAGCAGCCATATTTAAAACTTTTAAATATTGCTGCAGATAAAAGATATAAATATGATATTTTAGATATTTAATTCTTCTTGGACAACCAAATATTTTGTAATTGAGCAAAACAATTTTATTATGTGTCTCATTTGTCTGGAGAAAATTGCTGAGTGCAAAAGTTACTGCGTGAAAAGAAACTATACTACAAAACATGCTGCAAGTTATGACAAACTTAAAGGTTGATTTTAAATCATAAGGTGGAATTGCTATAAAGAAATATTATTGGTTAACAATAAGTGCTGAAAAGTATTTATTTCAAATTATTTATAAGTATTATTGCGACTAAAATAAGAGTTTAAACCACAGAAAATATTGCAAAGAAAGAGTGGTATACCTTTTTTTGTAACAATATATGCCCTGATAAAATTCTTTTGTTAAAGATTTTAGTCCTTCATACCAGACGATTGCTAAAAAATTTTAAGATCTAACAAAGAATATTGATCTATCATTAAAAGAAAAATTAAATAATTGTGAAGCATATAGTCTGACGCTGGATGAATCAACAGATGTAGGTGATACTGTTCAGCTAGCTACTTTAGAGGTACTTTAGAGGTATAACTGGCAGCTTTGAAGTAATTTAAGAACTGAAAAATTTTAATCATATGAAGGGCACAATGTGTGGCCTTACTTAAAAATCCCTTAATAATAACATTCTTTCCTATCACTACATTATACATCAGAAGCAGTTATGTGCAAATTTATTAGAGACAAAGCATGTCATGGAACTGCTAATTGTATAAGAAGTCATGATCTTATTCACAGACAAAAGCAACTGCTTGAAAATTGTGGTAGTGAGGCTGAAGTTGTAATTTATTTCTGTCAAGTAGCAACTCTAAAAAAAATTTTGGATTTTATTACCTGAAATAGTGTTCCTAAAAAGTAAAGAGAAAGACACAAGTTTGCGTGAAAATATAGACTAGCTAAATGAATTGGCATCAAATGTTAATGTAAAATGATTGACATCAAATGTTAATGTAATTAAATATCAAGTTGCAGTATAAAGATCAACTTATTAGTAAATTTTTTGAGAACGTAGAGGCATTTGTTTCTACATTTAAGTAATTTAAATTTAAATAAAAAATTTAAATTTAAATAACAGAATTGTTATTTGTGACTCCCATATTGACATCAGCATAAAATAATTCAAACTGGAATGTGGCGCTAAAACTTCCAAAAAACTGCTGCTTTTGTGTGTAACCAATAAACACCTCTCCAGTTAACAGAGTTCCACACTTAAATTTTTCAAGATTGATTTATTATTAGTTTCACTCCTTCACAAAAAGTTAAAAAGTTGATTTTACTCCTTTTCACAGAAAGTTTCACAGAAGTTGTTTTCACTTCTTTGCAAAAATTGTTCTCACTCCTTCACAAAAGTTGTTCTCAGTTTTCACAAAAGTTGCTAAGTTTTCCAAGAATGATTAAGAAAAGTTCTTTTTTTTTTTTTTTTTTTGATGCAGACGCCATCTGAAAAAATTCTTTTTAAATATTAAATCAACTGAAATTTTTCGTTTCTTCTGTAAAAAAAAAAAAAAAAACTTTTTCTTTTAAAAACTATGAAATTAAAAGTAAAAAATCACTCAATAAACATTATTAGGTGGTGTTGTAAAGCAGATCTGGTTCTTGTTTGTAGAAAATTTTTAACATGAGGTTTAGTTGTGAGTATTTTGATGCAAAAAAAAAAGTTGCTTTCAAATTATAAACGAAAAAATAAAATTTTATTTTACTTATTATGTACCAGCTATATATTAATTAATAATATTTTATTCTATAATATAATAGTAAACCAGACCTAACTTTAGTAAAAACCTAGATTTGTTACTAATTTTTCAAAGAAAATGCTTTGCCTGAAAAAACAAAACTGCAACTAAATCTTTCTATTGCAATGGAAAAGTTCATTTATTTTTTTCTTTGTTTATTTACTTCAAAAAATAGTTTTAAATCTTTTAAAAAGCAAAAAATTATCATTTAAAAAAATGACAGTTTTGTTGCAAATTATTTACTGGAAGAATTATAATTTTATTCATTTGGCAACAGATTTATTGTTTTTTTAATATCTTTAAAACCAGTAGTGCAATAAAAGGCTTTAAGAAATGTGAAAGACCCGCATCTAAATTTTGTTGAGTCATGATTAAATGCACAACATACTGACTTTATGTGTGAGTGTATAATACCACATCACTTCTGACCTTGCCAGCTACTAGCTTAAATACTAATTTTAGCTCCAAATTTGTAGACTTCATCAACAATCTTCATCTTCATTAAGACATTAGTAAACCATCATTATATAACATGATATAACAAAAAAAGCACTCGACTTAATACTCAATTAGACTTCAAACTGTGTAAGTCTTAATCAATTCAACTTAGTTACTAGATTATAATTATAGATTACTGTACTATTTCATAACAGCATTCTTTAGCGACCTATTTAACAAGATCAGTTTATTTCAAAAGCTCTGAACAAACCTAATAAAGAAGTAATTGCAAGTTAATAAAGTTTCAGTTGTTCAGACTTTTCAACAAGAGACTAATAAATAAATGTTATCTTATCTAGCCCAATAAATACAAAATTATTTTAATTGGTTTTAAAAAATTCAAACCCAGACCTTCCAATTGATTAAGTAAATGCAGACAGACATTAATATCTAGAAAGCTACTCTTCATGATTAATCATTGGGAAAAAATTTCATTTCATAATTGCAATAGTATATGGAAAATAAACACATTCATGACAGTAAACACATTTATGTCAGCAAACACATTAGACAAGTCAGCAAACACATTAGACAAGTTAATCAGCAAATTAACACATTAGTCAAAGAGAAATCAAGAAAATCAATTTAAAATCAATTAAAAAGAGAAATACTTTATAGAATAATTTTTTTCTCACTAGATTTGTGAATAAAAATCTAAATATACATTTAAAAGCTATTATAAATATCTAAAATATTATAAATATGTAATTTCTAGTTTTGTAAACAAGTGGCAAGTAACATTTTTTTTTACAGAAGCACTGATCATTGCAATTTTGTTCAACAAAAAGATATTTCAGGTTAATTAAGTTTTGTTAACTTTTACAGCTATTTAAAATAAGTTCACAATCATTTAAAATATATATTTATAACAAAAATAAAACTTACCTCATTATTGTTCGGATTATTTCCAGAATTCATTTTTAGTTGAACTTGGCATCTAAGAAAAAGAAAAAGTAATTTAAAAATGTACAAAAAAGAGAAATTCTAAAATTTACTTTGCTAAAGAAACTTGGATACCTGTAACAAGGAGAAGCTCCTTGAACAGAAACTAACATAAACTGACTATTTTTTCCACCAATCTTGTACCCTGGTCTGTGTTTGTATTCACAGCAAGAACTTAATCGAATATTTCGAATACCATTTATATTGATAGTTAAACCAAATGGAGATCCACGATGACGACGAGAAACAAATGTAAAAACAGCTGTAAAGAAAGTGAGAAAAATATATTTTTTTTCCTACTTCCATAGGAAAAATAAAATTTCCTTGCGCTAAAAATAAAAAACATGACCTTATAAAAAATTTTCAAATAATATATAAATAAAACTTATTAACGTTTTTAAATGTTTTTATTTCAATTTTTTTTACAAAAACTAAAATGAAAAATTCTAAATAATAAAGGATTGATATGAAAAAATATTATGAATAATTAACAAAATTATAAATAAAAACTCCCACAACACTATAACCAATAAAAATAAAATACAAACAAAAATATAAACAAAGAAAATTTTTATTTTATAGAAACTTTATAAAAATTTTATAAAACACCATTCCTAACACATATAAATATAATTTTATTTTATCTTTTATGTTATTAGATAAGTGAAAACACATTTCATGCCATTCATACTTTAATCAAACAACCAATGTTAATCAAATACAATTTAGTTTTATATAATTATTTTATATAAATATTTTATATAAATATACAAATACAAATAAATATTTAACTGTAACTATTTTTTATTTTACTTGTATATAATTTTACTTGTATTTTATATAATTTTTAATGCATAGAATATAATTATGTATTGTAATTAAATTGAATAAATAAAATAATAAATAAACAACCAGAATGTTGTATAAAAAACTAACTAATAAACAAAAATATTAAATAAAATGAAAAACAATAAACTTAAAACAATGTCATAAAACAATAATTAATAAGTAACAAGATATTATGCAAAAAATAACAAATAAACAACAATATATATTTATATAACAATAACAATAAATAAACTAATAAATAATAAATAAGAACATATTTTCATAAATAATTAAATAATTTTAAATTTCAATAAACAAAACTTAACATAAAATAATAAATAACAAACCAAAATGTTAAAATAATAAACAACAAATAAAAATGTTTACATATTAATAACAAATAAATATATTAATAACAAATAAAATTACATATTAATAACAAATAAAAGTATACAGACAATAAAAAGTTGCTTTCAAATTATAAACGAAAAAATAAAATTTTATTTTACTTATTATGTACCAGCTATATATTAATTAATAATATTTTAATAAACAAAATACAATATATAAAACACTAACATTGTTTTAAATAACTTATAACCTATAACTTGTAAGAAGCAAGGTATTATTGGTGAGTGATAAAGAAAAAATGGTCACTTTTTTAAAAATTACTGTTAATTGCACACTACTCATATGATATTCAATAAAGTACAGACTACATGAGATTTACGAAATACTGGATGAACAGCAAGATTAAATAAAATTGTAAACAAAAAGTTTTTTACAAATCATTGTTGTAGTAAATTTTATTTGAACAAATAAAAACAAAAAAACAACTTACTATTGGAAGGAAGAAGTTCTCGAAACACACAAACTGTGTTCCCACCACAATGCTGCTGAATTACCTGAACTTCGCTTAATCGGTTTGAAGAAAACAAATCATTGGTAAGATTTAGTAGAGAACCTAAATACTTCATTGTAACTTCTGCCATTGACTGAAGCTAGGAAATTAAAAACTTCTAGTATTTAAAAGTTATATGAGTAAAACTTATGGAGCAATAAAGTAAATAATTTACAAAAATCTATTGAATCAAAATTATGGGTTCAAAACAGATGTTTTTACATTGGCCCTTAAGGATTTTATTGTTTCAAAACATTTAGTAAAAACAATTAAATTTTTAAACCTACAACCAGAAGACAACTTATTAACTTATTTATCATAGTATTATAATATTATTCTGAATGCTTAATAGCCAAGAATAAAAAAATTCACCTGAACTCTATGACCAATTAATAAATCACTTTTTGCAATCTTCAACCCCTTTAAAAAAAATTTATATATATATATATATATATATATATATATATATATATATATATATATATATATATATATATATATATATATATATATATATACATACATATAAATATATATATGTACATATATATATACATACTCACAAACATACATGTATGTATATATATATACATACATTCATATATACGTATACATATACAAACATATATACACACACACACACACAAACACACACACACACACACACACACTCACATATATAATTATATATATACACACACACACATAGGCACAAAATGTAACAAAATTATCAACTTCATAATCATTAACTATTAACTAATGGAACTAATAATTACTAAAAAATTATTAAACTTTTTAATGAAAAAAACTGATTCATTTTTTTCAAAAATTTTGTGCAATATTTTTAAAAAGTTTTTAAATTCTTACTTAATTCTTAAATCTATTAAAGCTTAGAAATTTAGACAAAGAATAATTTATGAAAATGTAGAATTTAAAAAAAATAAATTTAATGTGTAAAATCAAATTAAATTTTTTTAAATTTTGTATTGTAAAAGCTTATCCTTTTTACCTTTTAATTTATTTATGCCCATTTCAAGTTTAATTTAAGCTTAAACTTCTTTAGGAAATAAATTATATTTATGTACTTTCTTTTGCTGAAGTTGTAGGGAAGATCATTTTTTCTAATTTCTTTAGCTTTTGTTTTTTTTCTTCTCATTTTAGAGTATTTTACATACTAGAAATTCTTTTTATTTGGTTATCCTCATTTAAAAATAATTCAAATATACATTTATCTAACTTTTTGAGCAACTTCATATTTACTTAGGTTTTTTAAAAGATTAATCAGGTAATTGTAAATCTGATTTATTATTAACATGCAATATAATAATATTATAAATAACCATAAACTTGTATATTAAAACATACTCTGTTAGTTTTTTTCTTTTTTTTAATTTTACCAAGTGGAGGATGAGGCTTTAAAAAGTGTTGTTGTGAGTTACTTTTACCAGTGTTGTTACCCTGTATGAAAAAAATATATATACATTAAAACAAGAAACTAGATTCTGAAATATATAAATAACAACAACAATAGTAACCAATTGAAATAAAATTAATTTATAATTATGACCTCATAAGAACTTTGGTTTCTTCCATCAAAATTAATAGTTGGTAATTTAGTTTTTTCTTTGAAATTTGCACTCTTAACCAACCTGGTTGATGAGATTTTTGATAGAGGAGAAAACAGTTCAACTAATTCATCTTCTCCTGTGGGCCGCAATGCACGATCACTTTTTATCTTATTTACCAGTTCGAGCTTATATAAATCATCTAACCGTTTACGAATTTCATGTTGTCTTAATCGCTGAAAAAATATAACACTATCATTGATCAACCCAATAACATAACAACACTATCATTGATCAACCCAAAAACATAACAACATACATGCATAATACTTAAAAGTTAAATAAGAAAAAAATTATATAAAAATATTATATATATATATATATATATATATATATATTTATATTAAATATACATATATAAATTAAATATATATATAGGCCTCAAGAGAGTGGGGTTGGGTGGACAGGGAAGATTCATTTGGTCCATTATTTTACAAAGAGTAATTAAATATGACTTTTTTAAAACATATTATTTCTATTTGATATTGATAGAAATTTTATGAATGGTTTGATTGTTTCCTTGACGGAATTTTTATGAGCATTCACTTTGTTTGCATATATTAAATATATATGCAAACAAAGTGTTATATTAAATTTTCTAATAATTTTATTTTTGTTGGCATTATGAATATAATACATTTGTCTGTAAGATTGGGTATGATTTTAGATATTTTGGTGAACAGAATGAGTCAAAGTGTTAATCTGACAGTCAATATACTTTTACAATCAATTGATTATTACAACTATTTATATTCTTTTTTTTTTTAATTTTATTCTTACAGCATTCAGTGATTTCAAATTTAGTGAACGACCAGGACTGGTATTTGACGGTGGCCAAGGCCGCTTCTATGGACGGGACTGCATAAATATTGGTACATATTGACTTTTTTTATATTATATCAATGTGCACTAGTATTTATACAGCCCCAGCCATAAACGCGGTTTTGGCACATGTCAAATACCAGCCCCGGGTCATTTACTAGTTTTTAAATCACTAATATGCTCTAAGAATAATTTTTTTTTTTTAAAGTAGAATATAAATAGTTGTAATAACCAATTGGTTGTAAAAGTATATTGACTGTCAAATTAACACTTTGACTCATTCTGTCGTTTACTATTAAAAACTAAATCAAAACTTTAAATTCAATTACTATAGTTTGCAATAAAAATATTTAAATAAATAATAGCGGCTAATTTTGCAGGTCTGGGACAACTTTTATTAAAACTTATTTATAACTTATGTGTAAAAACCAGCTAATATTTGTTAAAATTATTGAAAGTCTATTATTTTTAAAAATTTTATTTTTGAAGATGGCTTTTAAAAAAAGTGAACTTTCAACATAACATTCTTTCCACTCTTTTTTTTTTTTTTGAAAAAATTGATATTTGAATTTTTTCATTAATGTTTGCTAATGTTCTTTTGGCAACGCTGTTTTAAAAATGTTATTTGTAGAGATTGCATAACTTGATTCATTATTGCTTCATTTTGAGAGTTTAACACCTGACCTGATTAAATCTGGACAAAAAGAAAAAATTTAATAACTTTTTAACGGATAAAGATTTTTTATTTCGGAAAAAAGATAATTATAGATAAAAAAATATTATCATTCAAATAAAATAAAAAATTATAAGTTTTGAATTCCATTTCGCCGAGCTGCATCAACTCGAGTAAAAGACAATCTTCCAAATCATTGTACTATATCAAGATCTAAGTTTTTAAAGCAGTAGTCAATTCTATTACAAAGTTGTTCCAAATTTTCAGCTTGCCAGCATTTAGCATAAACTGTTTGTTTGATTTCACTCCAAAAATCTTCGATCGGTCTAAGTTCTGGAGTGTTAGCAATATTTCTCTCTTTTGGTACAAATTCAATGTTTTTTTGAATTTAAGAATGCTTAAATTTTTTTTGAATAATGTTACGATGCTAAATCAGGCCAGAAGATTACATTATCATTTTTATGGTACTGTTCAATGAATGGAATTAGTCTAGATCTTAAGCACTTATCTAAGTAAACATCTTTGTTAATAGCTTGACCCGATGGTACATTGAAGTGTTTTTACCTACCTTTAGGAGACAATGCTACCCAGACCAACAATTTAGGTTCAAACTTTTGAACTCTTTTAAGTTTGACTTCATTTGACATAGTGTCACGATCGCTTGAATAATATTCTGAATTTCAAGACAACTCAAAGTTGCTTAAACAGAAATAAGACTCATCATCAATTATGACTTGTTTTTTGCGAAAAAGCTTGGTAAGTTGATAGCATTTTGTACGCGCAACCTCTTTTTGCTTAATAGTTCTTTTAGGCGCTTTTTTCTTTTTGTAATATTTGATATTTGTCTTCTGTTTTATCGTTTTAAATATTGTCAATTTAGACACACCAAATTTTTTGGCAAGAGCACGTTGGCTAATTCCATGGTGATGATCAATTGAATTATTTAAAAGTGTAACTTTTGCTTTGGTCATTTTTAACACCGATGGTTTACTTCTAACTTTCCATTCAGGTTGTATTTTATTCTCCATTCTTTTTAAAATATTATAGCAGGTTGATCTAGGAATTCCTTCCTCTTGAACATGTTTAACAATCTGTGGTTTAGTCCAAGACAAATGGTTTTTAACGAACTGGTACATAGTTTTTTCTTATATTTTTATTCTTTTGATGTGTTAACTTTAACCATTTTTAATAAAATTCAAATTTCAAAATAATTTCATATTATAGAGAATTAAATTCTCTACAAAATGACATATCACATCATGTGATAAAGTTACTAACAAATTAAACAAGAATGACTTGAAATTTTTCCAGATTTAATTGGGTCAGGTGTTAGATTTTAATTTTTCTTTTTGTAAAAGTACACTTTTTGAAAATGTATTTACAATTAGCAAATTACAAATACATTTTATTTAATTTACAATAATGTGAATAAAAAATATAATTATTCAAATATTATTAATATTAAAAAAATATTATTATTCATAAACTTTAACTTTCATTATTCATTTATACAAAATATGAGTTATTGCCATAAATCTGGATGTAATAAATGGAAAGAATGACAAAAAAGGGATACAAAACATTGGGCTTACAATTTCTTCAAAAACCAAAAATAATGAAAACTGTTATAATAAAAATATTGGTGCAACTTTTTCAAATGCAAGAAATAAAAATGAATTTTTTTTGAATTTCTGTCCTTAAAGTGCATCTTAAGGTTATTTCAGCACTTTTTTTATCTACTGACTGAGCCAACATCAATGTAGAAGTGTTAAATTATTTTTTTCCAAAACCACAATCAACAACATTTCCTGTAGATAAATCTGGTAGTTAGTTCTATATATACTTAATAAGCATTCATTTAAAAAATACTCTAATTGGTTGGTTTGGAGCATATCTAAAATAAATCTGTTTTGTTTTCCTTGTCAGAAATTTCATGATAGGAGATAAATTTTTTACTACAGAATATGGTTTACAGCTTGATAGAGGAAAAAATTAAATTATAGAATGCCTGACCTTGAAATATCTAGCAACTAATTAGCAACCTCGTTTTATATATATATATATATATATATATATATATATATATATATATATATATATATATATATATATATATATATATATATATATATATATATATATATATATATATATATATATATATATATATATATATATATATATATAATATATATATATATAAATGCGTTGAATAAATACATAAAAACTTAAACTAAAAATAAGCAAACTATAAGCTGGAAAGAGAAATACTAAAAAACCAAAAAAAATAAAAAATACAAAACTAAATTAAAAAAATAAAAATCTTAATGAATGATAAAATGAATAACAAATAAACCAGAAAAAATAAAAGCATAAAATTAATTTTTTTATTTCAATTTAAAAGTGTTTCAATACAAAAAATTTTTTTAAAAAAATCGAAGTCTTTAAGTTATTTAATCCAAGGTTAATAACTTCAAAACATAATTATTTCAAAATTTAAAACTTTGATATTTTCTAATGTCTACAAAACAAATAAAACATTAAAATATTTTTCCGGTAGCAAAATAATAAGAACCCTCAACCATAGTCGATATATAAGTTGTGCATTACAGATTAATCAACCTATTCACAACAACAACATAGAGATATAGGAAAAATTATTAGCTTTAAACTATTTATTAGAAAGCTTCAAAATTAATTAAGTTTAATTTTAATTTTTATGATTTGTTTATTATTAATTTTCTCTTTTAATTAGTTTGAATTTTTCAGCACATATTTTAAAACACACAAATTATCACTATATGCAAAAAACCATGGTCAAGTTGTCAAAAAAATATTGTAGTGGGACTGCACACCTTTCCTGAGAAGTCTTGATATATATAAATATATACATCAAGACTTCTCAGGAAAGAAGAATTTAGAACTAATACTTTCCATATTTTTATAATTGGATATATGACAAGAAGATTTAATGCAGCACAAGAAATAAATTCTTCATTTAATGTGTTATTGTTATTTTGTGACTTAAATGAGAAATACAAAACAAGTCTAAAAAATTACCAAAAAATGTTAGAAAATGATATTGATGATCATGTTAGCGATAAAATAAACTATATTTAAAATCAAATTATGATGCCAATATACAAGATATTTCTCTCTTACTTTTCCTCTTCTCATTTTATATTTATTCATTTTAAGTATTGATATATCTATGCATATTTATATTTGTTTAAATGTAAGTTAAACTTTTTTATTTAATGAAGATTTATGGTTACTTATGTGTCCTGGTTTGTTTTAGGTAAACTTCAACAATAAAACCACTGTTGACTATAAATTGTTATAAGCATTTTTTTCTTAAATTAAATCTGTGTTTACTCTGAACATCTGTTTGTTTTTCTTTGTTTTTATTACTTATCTTCCTTTATATAAAAAGTTTTTTAATAGAAGTTTTTCCTATTTCTCTGTGGGCTTTCACTACTCAGTCTAGTTCAAGCACCGCAGATTACCTGAATCAAATATAACAAAAATATCAATCTATCTTTGTTGGATAGAATTTTTGGCTAGTGAGATACGACTATCTTATTATACACCAGCAAAGACATTTTTTCATGGTACATACATATCAGAGATTATCATGGTCATTTTAAAAATATCCGGAAAATATTTTTAAGAAATATCCGGAATTAAAATTTTGTGTAACTAAGAATATCTCATGTGCTTGAAAAGAAATGTTTTGGCAGGCATTCTTTTATATAAAAGATAATTATTCAATACTTATTTGATAAGAGTTTATAAACAAAATTAAATTAGATTTTTATGGTAAAATATTCAAAATAATTAAACTGATCTTTAAGTGCCAAGTTTTGTCTCGAAGATATAATTTATAATATGATAAGGTATAATTTATAGTTTATTATTATAGGTATAATAATATGTTCTGGCTCTATTTTTTTTTAGTGTGATTAACGCTTTTGTTGTTAATAAATAACGTCAAACAAAAAACCTCTAATACTCAAGTTAAAAACGTTATATTTGGGTTTTTCATTTTGCAATTATTTTTTATGTAGATCAGGCATGTCAAACTCAAATCCTAACATGGATTTGAGTTTGACATGCCTGATCTACATAAAAATTAATTGCTAAAGGGAACCTAAATATGAAATAACAATATAAAAATTAAAAATTCAGAAAAGGGATCATTGAGAACGAAATAAAAATATAAAAAATTAAACAACTTGCTAAAAAACTAAATAATAAATTATACAGTGAGCCACAAAATTATACATTGTGGGCCGCGAGTTTAATGACCTTGATGTAGATAAATGCCTTTATATATAACCATTTATAAAACATAAAAAAAAACAAATAAAAATAGCAAGTTAGCTGTTTTCGTTGTTGTTGCTATATTTTATCCGAAACCTGTTTTTTTGATTGGTTAGCAACATTCTATATAGGTATCTATGACAGCGTTAATCTTTGTATGATTTTTTTTGTTTTTATAATTTTATATGTTTCTAAATCTTATCAACTTGGGCTTATTCATCCAATAAATACCAATTTTAGCCACTTGTGTTTATAATAAAGTTTTATCTTACACCATTTATCACATTGGTGATAAAGTGTAGTTGAGTACTTAGTAGTCTTCTATTAGAATATAATATTGAATTCTATTCACTATCATATTCTATTAGAATATAATATTGTTTTACATTATCATTTATATTTTATTCTACTGCTTTTTGCTATTTTTGTTAAAATTTTTGTTTATATTTTTTGTTATATTTCATAAATTGCGGTGTAAAACATCAATGGCAATGTTTATCTGACAGGATAAACTAGGTATTGGTGCTGAGCCTCTTCAAAACGAGGGTAACAATAAAAGCAATGATGAGGAGAAGTTTATTATCACCACTACATAAATTATGACAAAAGCAATAATGTTTTTTCTTTGTTTTATACCTCCTATTATTTTATATTTATTCATTTTAAATATTAATATATCTATGCATTTATATATTTGTTTATCGTATATTGTTAAAGTAAGTTAAACTTTTGTATTTAATGAAAATTTATGATTACTTATGTGACCTGTTTTACTTTAGATATAATTTAACAATAAAATTACTGCCTACTATGAATCTTTCTTCTTAAAACAAATCTGTGTTTATTCTGAACATCTATTCGTTATTCTTTGTTTTTATTACTTATACTCCTTTATGTAAAAAGTTTTTTCAATAGAAATGTTTCATATTTCTCTGTGGGCTTTCATTGCTCATATATATATATATATATATATATATATATATATATATATATATATATATATATATATATATATATATATATATATATATATATATATATATATATATATATATATATATATATATGCATATATATATATATATATATGCATATATATATATATATATGCATATATATATATATGCATATATATATATATATATATATATATATATATATATATATATATATATATATATAAAACAATGTTACATATAGAGACGTAACATTATACATGACAGTTTGGTTTACAAATGACCACTTTTGTGTAACTAAATGTAATAATATTGCATGTGGAAACGGAAGGTATTTTATAAATAAATATAAAAAATATTTTTTTGATTTAAATATAATACTAAAAAATGTTAATTATATGAACTATTAAAATAGTTTTTTTTCACATTTACATTAAAAACGTAAAATTAAATATTTTTATGATTTATAAATTAAACTAGTTTATTTAAAATGTTTAGACTTAATCTGCATCACTAATCTAAGTATTGGCCAAGATTATTATTATAGTTAAAAAAAAATCTGAAAATCGTTTCTTAGCTATATAATAATAGTACAAATCATCAAATTTTGATCCACATGCCTATGTTTTATAATGTGAAAACTTTTTTTCAAAAAATTCAGAACCTTGCTGAGGCTGCTGACCCTGCATTCCTGTTGCTATGTTACTATAGATAAATAAAAACAATAAAAAAAGTTTAATAATAAAAAAAAACAATTAACACACTTCCATATCTAATGCTTTTTCAACAATAGCTGATGCTAAAAAATCTCGCACATGTTTTCGGTGCTCTAATTTTGCCATTTTTAAACGGTATTCTGATTCACTAGTCACAACTCCATCTCTTGAGACCTTTTAAACAAAATAATATGTCCTAAATGTAATTATTATTTTATATAAACTTATTTCTTATTTATCAAAAATAATTAAGAATAACAAGTCTATAAAAATTTATTAATGGTGGATTTAATTTTGGCTTATACAAATACAGTTTTTTGTTTTATGTTTATTGAAATTTAATTTTAAACTTACCAGACCAGATTTCATTAAATGCTTTCTCATTCTTAAGTTTGCAAAATACCCACTTAAATGTTTATCAGTAAGACTGTTGTAGTTAGCCAGGGGTCTAAAATATTTCAAAGAAAAAAGATTTAATGTTAAATATACTTATGTAACATTTATTTAATATAACAAATATTTATATAACAAATTTATATAAAAAATATTTTAGAAAAGTAAACTGAAAATTACGAACCCTGGATCAACTCCTCTAATCATTTTTAAGTATATATTTTCTTTTTTCTAGTAAAAAAAATTAATAAACTTAAATTAATAGTTATTTATCTCATAGATAAGTTATTTTCAATGCAACTATTAAGCCTGTTTAAATATATACATAAATACACATATACAAAAATATATGCAGAGCCATGACTAAACTCCCCCACACCCCAACTGGGGAGGGGGGGGAGAAGCTAGAAAATTCAGCCCATTTGCAAATTTAGGACCTCTTTTGCAAATGTAAGGAGCTTTTTGTTTTTTTTTAGTAACACCTAATGGAAAAAATTTCAAGATTTTGGGGCCCTTATAACAGGTTTTTTTTTGGAAGAGGGGCCTTGTACCTAGTAGCTAATACTTATATGCGTAAATATACACTATATATATATATATATATATATATATATATATATATATATATATATATATATATATATATATATATATATATATATATATATATATATATATATATATATATATATATATATATATATATATATATATATATATATATATATATATATATATATATATATATATATATAATTTTATATTGAATTGATTAAAATTGCATTTAAAATAATGGTACAAAAATTGAAAATTTTTGTACTGTTATTATACAATAAATAGATATGGCTGATGATTGCTGATAGACACGAAACTTTAAGTTACATCACAATGTTGTATTTTTCTATACAACTTAACACTATATATATATATATATATATATATATATATATATATATATATATTTAATTTAAAGTTAAACGTAAATAAAAATGTTATATTTATGCATAACTTAAAATACTTATATTTTTTTATTAAATACTAAACTTGATGTAATATACAATAAAAATCAGATTAGTTATTTTATAGTACATAAATAAATTCTTTTAAATATATTAATAATGAAAAGAAATATATATACAAATGAAACAAACACAACTTAATTAAACTATAAAGGGTGCCAAAAAATCTAAGCCTTAACTTATTAGTACTTATATATGCATTATTTAAATAATAAAAATGAATAAAGAAATTTCATTTCATAAATTATATAATGATGCAAACATAATAAGCAAACAAACCATAGCCCTCCAATAGATTGTCAGGTTGATTGCTAATTATGGTATGGACTAATAAATGTCAAACACTCTCAACTAACAAAGGAAAAAGTGTTTATAAAATAAGTTAAACTACATATCAGTCTGAAATTAAAAGTAATAATTAAAAGAATTAAATACAAAAAATTTGTTGAGTAGTATATATATATATATATATATATATATATATATATATATATATATATATATATATATATATATATATATATATATATATATATATATAATAGAAATAAACGTTACAATAAAATAAATGTGTCATTAATATAAAATACGTTAGTTTATTAATTGTTTTAATGACATTTCTTGTAGTACTTGATAATTTATTTACAAAATAAATAATACAGCTAGTAAGTTTGTCAAACTTTTCAATTTTTGTACCGTTATTTTGAGTGAAATTTTAAGATTTGTCTTTTCGTTAGATTTGTCTATTCGTTGCTACGATAAATATTTAAAGAGAACTCTTCTTTTCTGAGGTTAAAATAAATCAATACTTTATCGTATTATTTCATAAAAACTTCTGAGCAAGAGTCCGAAAACAAAAAACCTTTATTTTTAAGTAAGCATTTTATTTCACTAAAGACTTGTCTAAATTTGATAAAAATATCTTATAAGATCCTAATTAAATTTTTTCCTTTTTCGAAAAAATTAGAAAGATTATTCGGGCCTAAAATCAACTTTTACGGTGATTGTGATAAATAACTTTTTAGGTGAGTTTCCACTCATCCGTTTTTTTACTGGAACGGGAAAATGAAGGGAAATATAATCAAGTGGGCATGCGTATTATAAGTTTTAATTTGTCCGAAGTAAAGCTACGCATGCTCACGTGATTATTTTTTTCCTTTCCTATCCGGTTCCTGTAGAAAAACGGAAGTGTGGAAACTCACATTTAGACATATCAAACTTTGACACGGGTACTTTTATGGATAAGCATAAAAATCAATTCTTTCAATCAATCATAAAAAAAAAGAAATGCTTTACAAAAAATTGCAGTGCTTAGAAAAATTCTGGGAAAGAAATAAACCCTAAAACTTGCGTCCCTCCTAAACCTTAAACGCGTGGACAAAATGAGAGGGTTATAAACTCTAGATGATCATAACTTTTTAACACTAAAATAATATTAGATAAAATTTTAAATCTCCCGATCAATATAAATTTGGTTTAGAAAAATGTTGTTGACTACCCTTGGGCCAACCATTTGCATTTAATAACCCAACAAAGAGATACGGTCGGCGTTGTGTTAGTATATGAGATGCAAACTCATTGTTTATAAAAATTGTTACAATACAAGTAATCATGTGGTATCGAAATGATTGTGACGATCGATTTCGATCACGACGATAATTATGACTTAGGCGATTGTGATCGTCACGATTATTTCACAATCGCAAAAAAAATAAAAAAGACTAAAAAATAATACCGCTAAAAATTAATTGAATTTTTTTTTAAATTATTTTGTTCTTTAATCTTTACAAATTCGCTATATATAATAGAATCGTTTACAGAGTATAAAAAAATTAAAAAAAAAAATCACAAACTTACGTTATTCAAAAATAAAACTGTAAGATATTAGAAATTACTTTAAAGAACGCAAGAAACTTGCAGAAGACCGATGGTTTTGTCATCATGAAACTGCTATGCGTTACTAATATTTTTGAATACTTTAACTTAAAATAAGTTTATATTTAAAAAATAATGTTATTAGTTTCGGCAGAAAAAAAATAAAAATGCAAAAAACAAAGAACGCAGACAAAATAAAGTTTTTAATATTTTTAATTTTATTTCAATACATATAAATATAAGTAGTTAAACGATTTGCTAAATAGATAATATATAGTCGTTTACGTGTTGATAAATAAGCCTATTATTTATTATTTGTTTTTGTTGTTGTTGCTGTGGTTTTTGCGTTATTTAGAGTTTTTAGATTTATTTGGTTTTGGAACAAAGTTAGTTTTATACATAGTTTTAAATGTTTTTGGGTTAATAAAAATTCATAAAGTTGTTTGTGTTTAAAATGAGATTTAATAACGCTTTTAGAGTATTTAAGTTATTCAAATGTAAGAAATTAATTTCTTTTCTAGAGTTAATTAATTAACCCTAAACATAAACAAAGCAAAATGGATTCTTTTTCATTCCCTCTCCAAAAAACGTCCCTTAACCACAATTATGCCACAAATTTTTATTTGTCAAAGTGAAATAAAAACAGATTTAATAACAAAATATTTAGGTGTTTTTTTTGACAAGAACATCACATGGAAACAACATATTATTACATTTGGCTAAAGTGTCTAAAAGTGTTGGAATCTTGTACAAGGTCGGAATATATTTAAATAAAAAAAAGTTTAACACAACTGAATTACTCATGTGTTCACAGTTATATAAATTATGCAATTACTGCCTGGGGTACCGGCAGTAATTGCATAATAAATAAAAGTAAGTTAAAACGTCTTTACCACCGTCAGAATCATGTTATGCGTTTAATTAATTTTACAAATCGATTCTCACATACTAGAATATTTTTTATTGAAACGAGAATACGCAATGTATACAAATTAAATGTACCTAATGTTTTATATTTTTTATTTTTATATATCATTTATATGTAAAAAAACGATTTATGCTCTTTAGTTTTTAAAGATATTTTTACTTAGAAACCCATAAACAAAAATGCTTTAAAAAATAAAACAAGATTTAATCTTTTTTCTATTTTATATCGTGCGCCACATCTCTGGAATAGGATTGTTTTACCAATTTTTGATTTATCGATCCAGTCTCCAAAAATAAATTAAAAATTTCATTCTCTCAATTGAAAATATTTTTTATACAATATATAATGAAACTTTATGATACAATGTGTATATTTATATAAAAAGCTTTTTCTTTCTGGTATTGTAATACATGATGTTTTTACAAAAAGGTTCTGACGATAAGATTATTAGGATCTTCTATCAGATACTTTTGTTTGGATTTTAATTATTATTAACTATTTAACTTTTTTTTTTTTAATTTTGTGTTCGTATTACATAATAAAATCCTTTACAACATTTATATAAATTCAAAGGGTAGATAACATGACGGTAGATAACAGCATTATTAAATGACGGGTAACCGTCATTTGATAATGCTGAACAAAGATCTTAAAAGAAATTTTTGAATATAATGGAGGAATGAATCTTGTTGTTAAGGATTTCAAGTAATTTGAGTTTCTTATTTAGAAACCCACTTCCTCCTACAACTCGTTCACTTGTTTGTCTCTCGGAAAAAACTTGGGAGATATATTTAGGAAAAAAAACAATTATTTTAAAGCTCATTTAATGAAATCCAATTTTTAGCTTAGCAAGTTATACTTAAAATGTTTTCAGTTTCTTCATTTTGCTTGAAAAACAAAATGTCAACCTTTTTTTAAGTGCGCGTAAATGATATAAGTAGAATAACATAAATGACACCATTGAATAAAAAGTTTTTACTGACTGTTTATGAGTACAAGTTTTATAAAAAGTATTGCTTTTTAACGGGTAACCGTGTACCCGTTTGTGTGATGGGTACCCGGGCAAGAATTTTCACAATTTTTTGCAGCCCTTATTATAGTAAGTGTCATTACGACTTTTAAACAATTCGACTGTCAACTAAATTCACTAATATATTTCCTGAAGTTGACTAAAATCGACTAAAATCGACTTATTCTATTTTAAAATCGACTGAGTCGGCAAAAAGTTGAAATTTGGAAAAAACGCTTTTTTTTTTTTGAAATAATTTTTCAAAGTATTCTTTGAATACTTGCTAAATATCAAAAAGTTTATACAATCATATTTACAATGTTATTGTATAGATGACATTTAGATTTTGCAGCTTCATGATTTCATTTTATCCTAGTGCCCGGAGCTAGCAAGGAACGGACCTGTATGAAAGTATTTATGATATCACAAGTATATAAAAAAAAAATTGTATAATATATAGTCGAAATTTTAATTAGGTATTGTTAACTTGCTATGAATTAGATAAATTAAATAAAACTTTAGGAAAGTAAAAAAAAGAAAAAAGTATTTTATAGTTGTAATCGTACATGCAGGTCCGGCGGATTGCGGGTACAATGGGTGATTTTCGCCTTGGCGCCAAAGCTTCATAGGCGCTGAATTTTCATTGAATATCCATTTTTTCCTGAGAATATAAAAATATAAAAGTTTATAAGAATAATTTTATAAAAATGATATACTTATATTATGTATAAATAAGTATATATTAATTATGTAAATAAATAAGTATATATTAACTATGTAAATATATTATGTATAAATAAGTATATACTAATTGTGTAATTATGTAAATAATTTATAATAAAACTATAATAACTCAAAAAAACATTTTTTAAATTTTCTTAAATTTATTTAGTGTAGGGGTGAGGCGCCTATGATGGCATAGCGCTTATGATGGCATACCGATCATGGTTCCATAAAAATTGTTTTTGGTAAAAAAGTGCTTGGACATACATAACTATACTTACTTTACATTAGTTTTAGTGAAAATACGTCCCTTGTGCGCAAATATTGTTTTTATAATCAACAAAAATCAATTTTGGGGTGTGCTGTAGTAGTTTTGTTCCCTTCATATATTTAAGGTTGTGATTTTATTGTTAACTGTGCAGAAAAGGAATTTTGTGCATTTAGTGGAATACTTACTTTAACTTTATCTTTTGAACAAAACAGACACAACTTGTTTTAATAAAAATGATGACTTCTTCCCAAGTTGGCATACTAAGGAGTTGGGTGTGTTGCAATATTGACGAGTTGGGAAAACTTTTTTTATATAAGAAAAACTTATTTTTAAGTAAAGTAAAAAGTATGCAATGCTTCAAAAGTTTGTTTTTTTGGTCCAAAAAATACATAAAGCGCAACATATCCTATGCGTATGCGCGAAACTTTACAATGCCGCTGTATAGCATGAAATGGTAAATTAGGATGGTTCCAAACAATTTCTTGCTTTTCTGAGGGAAGACTCTGTGGTTAAATGAAATCATCAAGTTAGACTTGATCCTAACCAGCTTCATCCTCCCCTATGCCATCATAGGAGCTGTCGTTGCCTATAATGGCATACTAGTGCTTCGTTTAAAAATAGGAATAACTTAAAAAAAAAAACTTATAAAAACTCCGAGGGTTATTATTATTCTACATGTAGCAAGTAATGTATTTATATCAAAACTTTTATCATCGGTCTTCAGGATACTGAACAATGAAGCTTCAAAGTTACTATGCCATCGTAGGCGCCTTTCCCTTGTATTAGTATAAAATTTTAAAAATGTTTTAGTTAATAAAGAACAAATCATGCATTTCCCGCTATCCAATAATTGACATTGTTTAGAAGTATTATTTTCGAAAAGAACTATTTTCAAGATAAATTAGTTATAACCTTTTTTCAAAATATTTGTTTTAAAA